GCTGCCTGCCTTGGATTCAGTGGGACAGCATTTACTCTTAACCTTAGTGAAGGACTCAACACAGGCTTTGACCTTGCTGTCACACCACTGCTGAAAACAGAGAAGAACCTCTGGGTTCAGAACCTTCATTGACTCTCATCAGTCCAGACAACTGCAGAATCCTTGAAACTAATTAGCTAAAAACATCTGATGCAAGGGTTTGGTTGAAAATTTCTGATGATTAGAGCACCAAAGACTGCCTGGTTGCTAAAAAAACACAGTTTTTACTTTTTTCTTCACATGGTTACCGATATCTATGATCACAAGTCCAAGTAACATATCATTGATTGAGCTTTATTTATTATTTTGGTGTGAAGGTGCAATAAAGATTTGGCAATAAAAGGTTGTTTTTTTTAATAATGTACGAGACACTTTAACAACAGCTTAGCTCTATGATGTTTTGACCACAAAAATATAATACCAACATTTCCTTTCAGGAATAATCCTGCTAAGCTTCACAAAAAATGTATGACTAAAAGAGTCACTGAAAAGAAACACAGCCATTTTAATTTTAACATTTAAACCATATAATTAGGAATCCAAATTGAAAAGCATTTTCTAATTGTATATATTACACATATACACATATTTTAAATTGAATTATTAAAGGGAAATTGAGAATTTTGATTATTTATCCATTTATTAATCCTTTTTTAAATATTGCAATTTGATTTTTAAAACCCTAGTTCTAAATGGATATAAAAAAAAAAAAACATTTCATAACCACATTTCACATTTCCTAATCATACATTTGAAAAGGTAAGCTGCATTAACCTGCATTTTCTTTTTTACTTTACCCTCTTTATTTTCATTTTCTGTGCCCCTTCTGGTCCCTGAGAATACTGAAATTCAGTTAAACCAATCACAGCTGCTCCTCTTATTGATCATTTTGTGAACCAGGTATGGCGGACAAACCACGTTTTTAGTTTTGCATGGTTTGGTTAGCTTTTGGAGTGATGGTCAATATAGATTGAAAAAATATATATTTTAAAGATGTACATCTGCTTATGTTTGCTAATACATTTATTTAGAAATGTATAGCACTTTGTATGTTAGTATTTTAAGTTTTAAAATTTTTGACACTGTTACTTTTCATTTTATCTTCAAATTTGACTCTGAGGTTTATTTAAAAATCAAACAAACAAAACATTACAAGGCTTAATCATAACAACTGAGAGAAGGTGCCTTGTATGGATAAACAAATAGATTATACAGGGAAAAAAAAACAGAAAAGGAGAATAAGGCACAGTACTTCCAAATTAGAAAATGAGTAATGAAGTGGTACAAATCATTTTAACTTAAAAGCATCCTAATGTCAATAACAATAAACAAAGGCTAGGAATGCATATCATCCTCAAAGTCATTAATAATAATGATAACTTAAATCAATTATATTTGAAAGGAAGGGCCAATCTATTGTTTAACTTAAGCAAAGTAAAATCACATTTGGCTCTTATACTAAGGGTGAGATGAGGGACTCGCTTTATTTAAACGTATAATTTAAAAAATTATTTAGTTTTGTATTATATTACTGTGGGCTGCTCAGTGGAGTAGTGGGCAGCACTGCCGCTTTGCAGTGAGAAAATCAGGGTTCGATTCCCAGCTTTCTGCATGGAGTTTGCATGTTCTCACTGAGCATGTGGGGGTTCTCTCTGGGTAACCCGGCCTCCTTCCACAGTCCAAAAACATGACTGTTAGGTTAATTGGCTTCTGAGGTGTGAGTATGAATGTTTGTCTCTGTGTTGCCGTGCAATGGTTGGCGACCTGTCCAGGGTGTACCCCGCCTCTCGCTAGTAGACAGCTGGAGATAGGCACCAGCACCCCTTGCGACCACGCTTGGGATAACCGTGACAGAAAATGGATGGATTATATTACTGCAAGTTACTGTAGTGTTGTATATTAAACTTAATGACACATAAACGGTTTATAATCTGATACATTTTTAACTTCAATTACCACTTATCTTCAAATGAATGAGTTAAAAGGAAGCATTATTCTGCTCTCTTTAAACATGAAGAATCACTTTTCTTCTTTTGTTTGACATTTAATCTAGTCAGAAGTTTTTAAGATAACATTGAATGTGTTGTCAGATCAGGAACTGTGGTTCTCTGCTCATTAAAATAGTAATCTGAAAATGCTAATATTTTTCTCAACATTATGGTCACATCTCTGCAACTACTGTATTTGTGGCTGAAGAGCAGCAAACAGAATAAATTGCTCCCATCTGCTTGACTTGATGGATGTGTTTACATCTGGTTTGTGAAGCCAGTGGAGAAATATAGCAGAGTGAAAAAGTTGATTTCATTCCATCAATCCCTTCATAAAAATTATCATGAGCTACAGTAAAACAAAAAAAGAAACATTTTATACCAACTTTTGATTCGAAAAATCTCTCATATTTGATAAATTGCTGATACCTTTACAGTATGTGGGGCTAAACACCAAGTTTAAAAGGTTACATTTTTTGTAGAATTAGAATTAATGACATACCCAGATATTCTGTTTGAGAACAGGATCACAATAGTGTTAAGTGTGCTTAATCATATTTTGCCGGACAACTCCGACCATGTCTGATGATGATGTCAGACAAGAATTTTAATGGAGAAAATGTAAAAAGCATCAAAGTTGTCTCAGAAAAGTAAGAAAACACCTTTAGTATCAGGTAGTGACACACAATTTAGCATGGATTATATGTTTATCTTTGCAATAATGTGATCAAATTAGCGTTTAACTAATTTAGAGCAATTGCAATGTTTTAAAACCAATTCAAAATACAAATCCAAGAGGTGAATAAAACATTATTTGGCCAAATAATTTTTTATGAAAGGATTTGCTTAATCAAAAACCAAAACCTGCCCTGCGAAGGACTGGCGACCTGTCCAAGGTTTACCCAGCCTCTCGCCCGTAGACAGCTGGAGAGTGCTCCGCTAGGGATAAGCGTTACGGAAATTGGATGGAAAAACCAATAACCTTTACTTAATTAATTCTTTATTTTCTTTGAGTAGACATGAGTATTCCTATTAAATTACTTTTGGTTATAATTTGTTAATCAAAATGGAATGAGCGTATAGGAAAACACATGAACCTTAAAGGGGAACGCCTTTTTTTTTTTTTTACATTGGGCCCTTGATTTTACGTTATTACATCATGTTCTACTAACCCATATGAGTTTTGTGTCATTTAAAGCTGTTCTGAAGATATTCCGTTTGGCTATATCCAAGTAACGTCTTCCTATGGGCAATGACTTGAAGGCACAATCTAAACTGTTTCATAATGTATTCCTTATGGTACGCCAGCATTCATAACATGTAGGCGAATCACGGTCCCCCTGACATCCACGGTTATATTTTTTATGTTTATATCTTGTAAAAACAAAGCGGAGTGTGTATAATGTAAAATCAAGGGCCCAATGTAAAAAAAACGGTGTTCCCCTTTAAAATTATAGTAGTCTTAAACCCCTAATGAAATAAAGCTTGTCTTAGCTTTATAAGCAACAGCTCAGACATGTTATAATGTGGTCCATCTTGTTAGCTAAGTTTTACTCATCAGTAAACTCATAAAATGATCAAGAATCATCGAAGAAATAAATGATCGAGCTAGAAACTCTCCCTGACTTGAGCCAGACCTGTACCTTTGCCCATATCTGTTTTGGAAAGCTTGAGTTTTTCTCCAGCATCTAGCAGCTTAGAATGGCAGGCTCCCTGCCGGGATTTTTCTTTGTTCCAGCAACACATGAGGGGAAGGCCTTCCTTTTGAGGCTCTCACCTAGCATCTAAAGTTTCTGACACTCGAAGGTGCACCTCTATGCGAGTGTCTTGTGATTCTGTCTTGGGCTTGGAGAGGTTTGCAAAAGTTTGAGTGCGAGTTCAAAAGCAGCCCTGTTCATCCTCCCAACCCAATGGGCTTGTTTAAAATCAGCAAGAGCATTAGTCCCCAATGTCCAAAATTAATATAATGGTTTATGGCCCAATATAAGTTAACTGTTAGAAAAGCACAAACATCTGGGATGGAAAGGAATCAGTTTAGGGGAGTGGCGGCATACTGGTTAGGCCATAGACCTTGGAATCCTGAGGTTGTGAGTTTGAAACCCTCTCTGAGAAGGACCCTTAACCCCTAATTGTCCCACGATAGCAGTATGCTGCTCCCCAAGGGGATGGGTTAAATGCAGAGGTAAATTTCTCCAATGTGAGATCAATAAAGTTAAATTATTATTATAATTGTAGGCATGAATTTATTCATTATATAAAAGAATGAGTCTTTGTCAGGGAGTAGTTAGGTAAAAAAAACCATACAATGTTGTGTTTCCCCTACGCACACTTAAGTTCTGGAGGATAAAACAGCAGGAAAGTGCAGGATATTGATGTATAATGCCCTTAGACTGAAGCCACGAAGGTGAAATGGGATAAACGGAAAACAGTCAATGAAATGTTCACTCAAGGTTATCCTTTAAAAAAAAGCCATACCTTTTTGCGTCGTCAGTGCTTTGCTTATTTTATTCTAGCTGCAGAAATAAAAAGAACATCTCATTCACCTCTGTATAGTCATTTGTAGATTCTCACAATCATCCTCCAGAAAGCTTAATGCAATGTGTTATGGCTAAAACAGCTCTTGAGCTAGAAGGCAGCCTGTTGTCCTCGGGGATGTAAACACAGACAGAGGATAGACACCTTCCTAGTGATCAGGATCTATGCCAGCTAATAGAAGAGGCAGCTGATCATATTCACTTAATAGGTTCTCATAATCCGTGATTGTCTTGCGTGATCCCTTGAGAGGAGTAAAATGGTTACGCGTATTTGCAATCAGTGTGTAATAGGCTCTGACAGTTGGACTGCTGGTATGGCAAACTGCTTCTCTACATACAAAACAGTAGCACCGGTAAATCTGTTTATACATTTTAACATGAGATCTTTTTTTTTTTCTTTCTTTTTCCCCTCCCTCCATGCTGCTGGTCTCTGCCGCAGGAAGTTGAGGTTAGTGTCTTCTTTGTATTATAATGTGCTGTGCATTACAAAAATATTATAGCGCCTATATCATGCAAAATACACTTCTTTAGCTTTTAACCATGTTATAATTGTTATTCCTTTATAAAAAAATCATTCACGAAATAGTATTTAGATAAGTATAAACATTTTTTTTTACAAATAAAACACTAAAAAAGCATTTGTATGTATTTCCCACCCTTTTATTCTGAACTGAGTAAAAGCTAAATAAAAATATCATTTATGTTTTCATCATTTCTTTGTGAAATATCTGTATTATAACTTAATCCTATGTATTTAACAGTGTCACCAACTTTGTACACTTTAAAGAGCATATTATTTCAATTAGAATGTAATTTATTTTGACAGTAGTTTAACCGATCACAAATATGTGCAACCGATATTTTTGGGTAGATTTATGAAGCCGATAATAATTTTGACTCCATTTACATGATAAAAATAATCCAATGATAAAAAGTACAAGTCTCAATTTAAATAAAAAAAGAACAAAAAATGTTTATAGAAGTCAAACAAAACAGCAATGAATTGCAAATTAAGGGAAGCCAAATGCATGCACTTTATAGGATTTTAAGTAAGTAACACCTAAATTTATATTATTTTTAACAAATATTGCGGTTCTATTGTGATTTTTTTTTTTGCACTAAGCAAAAGCATGTACTGTAGATGTTTCACTCCAGAGTCTTTATGTTTTCATGACCTTTACTGTGACCTTTGCATGAAAAAGTTAATACTTCTACTATCATGTATGGGTCTGCATGTTAGGTGGAATTCTCTCTCTTCACATCTGTGTGGCAGCAAACCCACCTTAAGTGTATCACCCCCACTTACATGAGGAATTTACTCTTGTTAATTGTAGTGACGAAAATTTAGAGTCTCTGCAATTTTAAAATTGGGTTTTTCCAAATTGCCATTATATTACAAATGTGTTAACTTGCCCTGCTTACTTGCCTTTACTTGCCCAGCCCTAATTTTAAACATGGCTGGTGAATACACTACTGAATCAGTGAACACATGCATACTGTATATTGCTTGATGCCGATACAAGAAAATAAAAAAAATTATAATATCAACCAAGAGTATTGGCGTGTTGGTCTATGTCTATGGCTTTATTGTATGACAATATACCTTGTTTGGTAAATTGCCATGAGGATATAGGTTTGGTCTTTGAGTTTGACACTTGATTCGGGACTGGAGGTTCACCTTAAAGGCAACAACTCTACATACATGGGCCCAAGCCTTGTTAGAATGGTTTATAATAAAGATATTATTTGGTTAGCGGGGAATTGGTCCAAAGGTACATATAACTGATCATCTGTGGACTTTAAAATAGGCTTAAAAATACATTTTCTCATACTCTCCATCTAGTGAGAATGACAGCCGAAAAATTTAATCTCCCGATGTACAAAGCTGGTAGAAACACACTTCAAATCAAGAAGGTTCTATGAATCAGTAACTTTAATAACTCCGGTTTTTATTAAACTTTTCTTACACTGCTTTGAGTCCAATAAAATCCGTTACATTTTGTGATTTTTAAAAGGTTATGAATGCTTTTGCTGGGCACATGTGTTTCTACAAACGTCTTAAATGCTTCCTGATAGATGAGAGTTGGTTCTTTTTAATGCACAAACACACAGCCAAATCAATATAATATAGCATAAATTTCTACTGCAGCAGAGAGCAGCCTTTGACTCCAACTCAGCTGCAACTCAAACACACTCAATTGGATGCATTTACATGCAAAACACTAACAGCGAAGAAAATTACAGGCAAAGTCAAAACAGCTAAGAAAATTACAGCCAAAGTCAAACTCACAGATGCTTCACTAATGATGAAATAACTCAGAACACGACACAGGAATGAATATATGAGCTGGAATCTGTAATATCAGTGATAAGAAAAGGATAAAACTCAAAGCATATTTATTCTTATTTTCCCTCTGTGCTCAGTGTTTGGAGCTGCCTTTTGGGTGTTCTTGTTCAGCTTGACTTGAGCGCTCAGTCTCCATATCCCCTTACCAGAATAAGCCTTCGCTAAAATGATCAGACCTGATCCTTGGAGTCCTTGCTAAGACTTGTGCCAAATAGTAAGAAGTTGATCCTTGCTGTCCTGACAGAGGGAGAAATGGGTCAGAGCTAAAGCAAAAAAAAAAAAAAAAAATGTGGATAATGGAATTGATCTTTTCAGCACAGACTTTCAGGGAGAACATGAAAAAAAGCTGTTGGTTAGAAAATATTCCCTCTGTAGATATCTCCTCAAGCAGAGTAGGTTTGACAACATCTTTAAAGTTCAGACTAGATATTACACATTTTTAATAAACTGAACTAGGGCTGAAACAATTAACAGGATTAATCGATTACTGAATTAATCATCAACTAATAGGGGGAAGTGGTGGCCTAGTGGTTATGGCATAGGGCTTTGAATCCTGAGATTGGGAGTTCAATCCCTCACTACTGTTAAACGCAGAGATACATTTCTCCAATGTGAGATCAAAAATTTTCTATTTATTATTTTTAATTTAGTAATCAATTAATCGTTTACTGGATTATAGAAACTCTAAAACATGCCTTTAGCTGACAGAGCAGTAATTGTACCAGAATTGTATTAAACATATGTTAACATTGCATTTAAGATAAAAAAAAAAATGTCCTCTGTCAATATGCTCTATCCCTAACTTCTCAAGTGGAAAAGTTTTAGTTTCACCTGGTTTAATTTTGTTAAAAAAATCTTCTTTAATGAACCTGGCTATCCGATTATTCGATTAATTGAAATAATAATCATCAGATGAATTGATTTGCAAAATAATCATTAGTTGCAGCCTTAATTCAGACCCTTTCTTTGTGAAGATTATTTTATTTTGAAGCAATCAATGCATCTGTATCTGGACTTCCATTAATGCAACAGTTTCTCTTTTATTTCCCCAGTTTAAATAATTAAATCTATTAATGCAAATATATTTGTTTTACAGGACGACTACTTCAGGAATGCTGACGAGACCGCCGGCTCTGATCAAAGTAAGTGCTGAAAAATGTGAGCTTTTCTCTGTAAAATCAGATTATTTGAAGTGTCCTTCAACACTCTGTGTAAAGACCATTTTGCTATACTTTCTACTAAAGTTCACCATCACAATAACATTTAGGAAAAAAAAATAAAAGTATGCCTTTTGGCATTATGCATAATTTCAAAGCATTTAAATGGCGCCATGCACATTATAAGAATTGGCTTTTTTAGTACTTGTTGAGGTCAGGCAGCTGGTGGGGAGCACTCGATCGTGGTGTCTGAGCTTTGTTGAAGGTGAGAACGCAGCTGTGATTCAGAAAAGTAGAGGTTGTGCCTTCAGTTGGATCCATTAGTTTGAAAAAAAAAAAAAAATCTAGCTATAATTGCTTTTTGTTGCTGAGGGCTCAAGTAAGAACTCCCACCAGGGTTCATTGCCATCCACAGGGGTTGGTTCAGTGCTAAGAAAAAGAAAATCTCACCTTTCAAAAATTAACTGTGTAGGAAGAACAGAGAACATGTGAATGTGAAGTTTAGTTCCCAGAAAAATATTATTTACTCAAGACCCTTTAGAAAATGTAGTCATGGAGAATGTACTTTTACAGGTTTTCCACCAGTTTTAAAGACATTTAGGGATCTAAAATAGCAGAAAAAGTGTTTATACTCCCGGTTAAGGACCTGTAAAAGTATCAATCTGATTTTAAAGTATAGCCTCCAAAATTTGAATGATACAGTAAGAAGACATCCAAACTGGCTTGTCACTCTAGTATCTCCTTTTAGAAAATGAGAACTCCATAGATTATTACACATGCAGATCAATATTTCAACTCTGTATTTCATATAATGTGGATATAAATATTGCTTACAAATGAGAAAAAAAACCCACATATGTGGAAGAATATTAGTGCCAGTAAAAAAAAAAACAGCAACTTAGAAATTTGACTTTTTTTTAAGGGACCCTAATCATCGTCCATAATACAGCAATTTCTTACATAAAAAAGAACTTTGAAATTTGTTATTTAAATAAAATTCCTATAAAAATGAAGAAAAACTGTTTTAGTTCTAACTAGGTTTTAAAATAAAGATAAATAATTACAAGAAGGAGATGTAAAACTGAAAAATAGTGAAAACCTTTTTTATTTTTTTGAACTGTATTTAATAACACAACTTGGTCCTTGGTCAGTTTTCTGGTTATCAGGGGACAGTGAAGACGGTCCAAAGAGTCAGCTGCAGCTGTGGTGCTACAGGTTGCAGATCCCTGCTCTTGAATTATCTAGCAATTAAAGAAAACAAAACTCTTACACAATAAAAAACGGTTTAACTGCTACTTTTACCTCATTTATAACCCCTTTCTATATAAAATAATGTAATCTTTATGTGTCTTTGTAAATAAATGATGTGCTTTTTAAACCTTTGCAATATTGCAACGCTTATGCTGCCAGGGGTTATTTTGTTGTACCTGTGAACAACTTTGATGGTGTTAAATGAATGAAAGGAAATTATGAAAAGCAAAAAAGGAAACAGCATTGACATTTAAGTTTTTAAAGTTGAAAAGTTCAAACTGCATCATGATTGTATTAATTATATGTAAGATTAATAGGCTTTGTAATTTAAAAGAGGTTTATCTAAACCTCTACCAAAAAGTCATTGCAACACCAAAATGATTACGAAATAAAATTAAAAAAGCTAGAAAAACAAACTACTAAAACACGCCTGAGGGTTACATTGAATGAAATATAAACAGAGCTATGTACCTTTGATGTCAAATGAGCATCTTGAACCTTTTCTTTAGACTGCCTGTTAATATTCATGCTTCTGCGGTCTTAAACGATAAAGAATTTACTAGCAAAGTATAAGCTTTAAGCATTGCCATGCTTCTGCTACTTTTAGGTGTGCTGCTCCCAGATATTGGAGCTTATCACTGACCTTTAGCTGGAGTGTTTAGAGGGCTGGACTTAACACCTCCACCATGCTGCCTTAAAATGTGAAAAATTGGCTCAAGACTTTTTCCAATTATCTACACAGTCAACTAGAGGAATAACTAAGAAAAACAAGGCTTTATTTGCCAAAGGTGGGCATTCATTCAGTGTGGTTGAGTTTACCCCCAATGACAGCTCCCTGTGGGACTAATTCTGCAGATTTATTTAATCAAAATATATTTTTTCAAACTTAAACCACAGGTTAGGTGTATAGTAGCTGAATTGAAAGAAATGAAAACCCCAATGGAAAACCTCAGACTATGGCTTTGCCTTTAATGTAAGCTGATTAAAACATTAGATGGGCCCCAACAAGGGTCTTTAAGGAGGGTTTGATACTTTGACTTAAAACAGAAGCTGCCATGCTTGATCCTGACATATTTTCTACCTACAATTTGACATTCTTTTGCTTTTTTAAATATTTAAATAAAAAATATTAACCCATGTCTCTAACTTTTGCACATCTAAGAATATAAGAATGTTATGACCTAATAGTTTAAAGGCACACTATGCAACATTTTTCAGTTAATTAATGTGTTCCATAACGTTATGGATGACTAAATGAGTCATTTCAGGTTGAACAAAGGTATTCTCGGCCGCCCTGGTGGTCTGTGGGGGAAATACTGCACTTGCAACTGCAGGAGCACCGACCCGCACCCACAGGCTCAGAAGTCTCGTGAGAGTCAGTCTTGCTTTACGGCGAGAACTGCTACACGCCCCCAGTTAAAAGCATTCTCGTTGCTAGCACAGTGGCAATCTTTGTGCAGTTATGCTACGTTCACGCAGCAAAAGCAGCAATATCGCGTCTGCTGCTTCCTTTTTGCTGCTTGTACCAGTTAGTTCTGACGCGTGGCTGAAGCAGCTTTGCTGCTCTAGCTGCGCGGTGCAAAAGTGTGTCTGAGGCGCATTGGGCGGAGCTTCACTATCCTTTCTCTGCCTTGCAGCTATATTTGCTGTGATCAGTGGGAATAAAGTAGTTTTAATATGTGTTTAAGTGAGAAAATACACCTGAAAACGTAATCAGTGCAGTCAGTTCATTCAGATTATTATCCTGCCTTCAATATTTTTTCTGTCGGAGCCGCTCAGACCCCCACATACCAGCGGTGCGCCGACAGTATGGATCCCTTCATCAGCAGCGGTTCACCGCGGCAGCTGGTAGGTGTTTTTCATCTAAATAATCCAAACTGCATATTCTGCCGGCAGATTTCTGCATTTTAAGTTAATTTAGGCGTCAATAAACTGTTTAAGAGGAGTGATCATCAGCGCTGTGTCTCTCTCCCTGCGTTAAACGCACCCGACGCGCTGCTTCAGCTGCTCAGACGTGCTGCGCCTGGTGCTCAAAACGCGCCGCGGGACCTTTTGCTGCGCCTTGACGCGCGTCAACCATTGACTTTGCATGTAAACTCGCTGCTTCTGTCGCGCCAGCTACGTCCAGTGTGAACGCAGCGTTAGTCATTCCCTGCTAAGCTCAAAACAACCGCGCCTGGCTTGACGGAGAAACCAGGAGAACAGCTGTGCATATTTACGACAGTGCACTTTTACTTTCGCCCTCTGGGGGGAGCCTCACTGGAAAATCAACACCGGTTGCATAGTGTACCTTTAATATATCTCTCTCATTAACATTAGATTTTTGGAGCAATTGCTTTGTAGTGTGCTTTATTGTGTGAAAAACCATTAACTCTTGGATGCTCTGACTGATTATCCTGTGTAGATCTAAGGCCAGATGTCCTGTTGAGGATTTCAACATGCAGGTGATTTGATATATAAAAACAGATTGAGTTTTTACATTCATACTGTGGTACAGTAACATGATAATAATTGAATAAAACAAATGCCATATATCAAGCCTAAGACATATTCCTGAAATGCTTTAGTTTATCAATCAAATTTTAAAATGAGATATTGGTCAATTGTTCCTCTCTGTTTAAGTAAACACCCAAATTTTACAGTTTTGGCTATATTTAGGTGTAGGATTAGCTGTTTAACAAAAAAAGTTAGTAACAAGGAGTTGAGTGATGAGTTGGCTGGTTTAGATAAGCTTTTCGCGTTACAAATGTACGATTGAAACTGAATTTGCTCTTTTTTTGTCCAATTTTTTTCAACTAAACAAAAAGGCTATATAATTATCAGTTTCAAAAGTGATATTTAATGCTATATTGCTAGTCTTTACGTATTTTGTCTCTTTTGTTTTAAATGGCTTTGCTGCTGCTTCAGGAGAAACTCTATTTATTCTACCAATCCTCCATTCAGATTTAACATGTCTAAATAATTTACAACCTTAAAACCTCAAACTACATATCTTTACAGTTCAGTGTTTTTTAAACTTTTCATTTTCCATGAGTCCCCACAACCCTACTGAAACAGAAGGACCCAGTAACTTTCCACCCATGACTTTTTTATGTAACAATAATAGTAAAAATATACATATTATGGAAGATGTATTTATTATTTGAGACTAGTTAAGCCTTAATTAAGATGGACCATTGAGCATTTTTGCTCAAAAGTGCAACTAAATCTGTTCAGTCAAATCATGACAGAGCAGAGCTGAGTAAAACTGTTGTGATTGCAAAAGCTTTTTTATGGTATGTTAGTGCAAATTTTATGAGCCCTGTGCACAGCATAATTCTCGTTATACGGGCTTGGAGCCTTTTAGCAAAGCCTTTATGTTACAATTTCACTCTGGAGGGGATTAAAGTTGTTCCGAAATTGTTTTTCTACCTCAGTCGGAGGTAGAGCTCACATACATGGGTTTGCAATCTAGTTAAGAGCGAGAGTTAAAAAAAAAATCCACTCATAATGATTTTTCTTTCAAGGCATTTTTTTTATGTTTTCATTTTAACAGGTTGCAGATATTTGTACAAGTATATTCAGACTGTAGCAAAGCATAGCATAGCTCATATATTGGTTGATAAGATAGATCACATTTAAATAACCTAAAGGTAGATCAGTAACATATTACATTATTCATTCTTAATTAAAAAGGAACCGTAAGACCTTTAGCTATTGATCAACATTTATTCATATTTATTGAGGGATCAGATAGATAGATAGATAGATAGATAGATAGATAGATAGATAGATAGATAGATAGATAGATAGATAGATAGATAGATAGATGGAGAGATTCTAAATAAAGAGATGCTATTTAGCTGTTCTTTCCTCAGTGACTACTTCAACACATAGGAGTTTTATTTTTAGAACAACCCTTTAGTGTCGACGTGTATTGCTGACCAAAACCAATCAAACAAAGCATCTTTTCTGCATTTTTTCTTTAGGATTTTACAACTATTTGTTAACTTAACAGTTGTCCCTGTGTTGCCTTGGTATAATTTAAATATAAGTAAAGCGCAAAAGACGTTTATGCAGTAACAATCGATGGACAGTTTTTATAAATTACATCGAACTGCCAAAGCTAAATATTACATTCCTATTTAAATATCTTACCTCTGACCTCTGTTTTAGATCCCTGCAGCTCTCTGTATTTTGCACCTAATCAACTGTCTCTCCATCACCGGCAGTTAGTGTAAAACTCTGCTGCATGTCTTAGAACGGGTACTAGAAAGAATGGCCAGATACCCCAAAAAGATCACATACTGTAGAGCAAGATGCACTTCCTGCAGCTAAGGCCAAATTAAAGCATAGAGGGATCAGGATAACTCCATAAAACACATTTTTTTAAGTCTTTTAATTCAAGTTCAGTTTGAGTTCCATCAGACCTCCTAGGTTGTGCTTTTTTCAAATCATTTTTTTTTCTTTGTAATTTGCTTTGTAATTTGCTCTCTAAAATTACTTTTTATTTATTGTATGTGAAGCACCTTGGTCAATGGTGAAATGATGTTAAATGTTCTATTTATTTTAGCTTAATATTAACAACTGATGACAGCATACCACTTGCAGTATGATGTTATAACTGTAGGCTTTGTCCTTTTATCTTCCATTATACAGATTTAATGTTATAAAACTCAGCAACCATAGGTTTTCAGAAACTAAGCCTTAGCAGAGACCTAATTTCTCATGATGTTACACCAGGATTTCATCAGCTATTATCCCCCAAAGCTTCACAATTATTATTTTTACAATACTGCCTGTCCGACCCTGACTATAGCCTTAGACGAATAAAAGAAAACTCATAAAAAAGACTTGTAAGGAACTAAATTTAGTTCTATTACATATATTAAGGTCATTAAGAAGTGATGGTGAATATCTTGTTTTGAACAAATTATTCTGTTCTCGGGTTTCATAAAGGATCCAAGTTTTTAATTAAGCCGTTGTTATAATGATGATTAAAAAGCTTCTGTATTGAATTGATACTTATTATTTTTAAGATTCGTTTTGTTTTTTTTGGTAGTAAGTTGTTAACTAGTATATAACCAGACAAAGGAATTGTCACTGTTAAGCAATGCACTATAAATACCAGTCTAACAAAAAACACTGCAAACAATTCCTGTTTTCTAATCCTGTCGTATTATCTCCCACGGATTTTTTACAACGTCTTCAGGTCCTGAAAGTGTAACCTTATTATCAGATCTGCAGGAATCTCATGTTCTACAGCTGTGTCTGGTGACTGTGAAGCAAATGCTGGGAGCTGACTCAGGATGACACTAAGCATCTAAGTTTTTTTAAGAAATGAAAGGACCGTGAAGGTGCAACATCAACTTTCTAGTGGCATTGACCATTGACTGAGGCAAGGTGGAAGATGCTTTGCTATTTCTGTCTCAGTCTATCAGCGCATAAGAGGCCGGCTTTGAACCCCGCTTGACTCTGAAGAGATGGGGAAAGAACGATGCAGAGGGGCATAAGGAAGGAAAAAGGAATTGCATGATGAGAGTGTTTTTTTCTGCTTGAGCGAAAGGAGGCAAGATGGGGAGAGACAGTGACGAGTTGATATGAGGGAATTGAGATGTGGCAAGCCAAGTGAAGTAGATGCTCAATCAGTGCTGTCAGGTTTTCTTGCAGTCAGAGACAACTGGCTGAGACTTCAGGCAACGCTACAGATGATGTGCCGCCTCACTAATGACAACCGGGCGTCAATGTTACTGGCAGAGCAGACAATTGGCTCGTTTGTGAACACTGTTGGAATTATTTTTCACTGTGCATTTTCCTGATTTTTATTGCACTTGCTTGTATGAAAGATAGTTTTGAGAGAATGAAAGATAATTTCAGACCACGTGTTGAATAAACAGAAATTGAAAAAGCTGCAAAAAAAAAAAGGCAGCTCTCTTGTTTTTTACATTCTCAATCAATACCCTGAATGCATGCCCCTTGTCAAAAGGAACAAAAAGCAACCTCAAATCCCTCTTTTTCAGCTGATGGAACTTTTAAGGTTCAAACCTTTTAGGTGAGATTGACAGCTCTGCATTAACTGTGTTGATTATTTTGTGTGTTCACAGCTGTCGACACCACTAAGGACCCCTGCCAGAATGTGAAGTGCAGTCGCCATAAGGTGTGCGTTGCTCAGGGCTACCAGAGGGCCACATGTATCAACCGCAAGAAACTGGAGCAGAGGTAAGAAAGTTCTCAATCCATGGATGAGAACACGTCTCAGTTTTTGTTTTTTTTTGGGTGGATCAAAGGTGCCTCGCCAAAGTTTTCCTACCATGTAGAACATTCTCCTCATTTTGTCGGGTAACAGCTACAGATTTCAATTTTACTTATTAGTACCGTACATCATGTGACTGACCGCACCCAAAAAAGAAAATGCAGCTCCAACATAAATAAATAACAACAATTGTTAACAATTAACTGAATCAAGGTTATCCTTACTTAAATAAACTTAAATACATTAAAGTTATAGTGGAGGATTTTTGTCAAACGCACATACACAACCCTGTGTATACAAAATAACAATAAAAGTTGTTTAAGTCTCAGTCTATAAAGCCAGATGTATAATGTGCTTACATTCATAGATTATAAAGAGTGATATTTGTGCTTGGTATCTCAGTTTTGATAACAGGAGATTCACACTGCAGGATTTTAAAAAAGTTTCTATGTTGTTGTTTTTTTTGGGTTTTTTTTTTGTTTTTCTATTAAATGTCAATCAAAGGTTGGGGAATATTGCTTAAACTGTTATATACAAATTAACCTCTGTGTGAAAAAAAAAACAGCATGAATGTCTCTCATATCTGTATCTGTATAAAACTGAGCTGAAACTGCACAAAACTGTGATGGTAAAAATGTTTTGTAACCATTGTGTTTTAAAGGTATAGTAAACCAACCCAAGACAGACTCATACGTTTTTAAAATTCCTACACAAAAGTACACTTCATGTTCTGGAAAGAACAAAGTTGTTTGTTTTTATTAAGCACTGCCATTTGTGTAGCTCTACCTGCACAGAATGGTGTCAAAAAATTAGATGATATCGACCACAGCAAGACAAGACCATGAAAAGATGCTGAACAGTTAAAAGTTACCAAATGCCACTGTAAATACTTCAACGGTTTCAACAGGATAATTATCCCAAACGTGCGTAGAAATTGGCTTAGGAATTGATATTCAGGGTGATATTAAGTTTCTGAAACCGTACTGACCTCATCCCTATTAAAAATTCATGAACTTTGCTTAAAAGCAGAGCTGTGTCTGGAAATTTACTAATCCAAATGAGGCCTGCAACAAGTGTGGTCAAATATTCAGTTAGTTATTCCAGAATCATGTTGATGTTTTTAAGCAAGCATTTGGGGGTTCTGCAGCTTGTCAAGAGACAGTTGATGCAAATGTCATTTAGTGTTTATGTGTAATTTGGCACAGCTTGGTTTTAGGAAAATCAACAATAAATTCCAACTTATAAAACCTGTTCTTATTTAATTAAATCAACAATTCCAACTTAAAAAATACTTTTCAAATAATAAAAGTTTTAAAACCACACTTAAAACACATAAAAAATGATAATAGGTTATATAGTGTAAGATAGATGTATGCAGCACTTTGCATGGAAGAGCACTGCTGCACATAGAAGTTCTGCATAATCCTCTCCTCACAAAGAATCTTTTTTCTTTTCAGTTGAAGATGTCATTTTAAAAGTATTTATCTACCCTTGTGCTCATTTGTTCCACTTTGATTGAATAGCAAATGAGCAGTGTTGCAGCCTGAAACGAATTAATGGAGTGAGTTATTACTACCTGAGAAGTCTTATCTGCAGCGACAGGCGTTTATCTTTTTCAATAAAGTGCATCATGTACAGAGTTTCTGCTGAGTAGATCTGGGGGTGCATGTCAAACAGTGGGTAATGAGCGAGAACGAAGCCGTACCTAATCCTCCCAGAACCAATAAACAGCAGCAGTTGCAGCTAAGCTGGATGCTGTTATTTACTAAACATGTATGTAAACAGTATTTTTATATTTTTATGTATATTTTTTTTCTTTGTCAAGTGTTAAAAAAAGTTAAATGGGCAAGCTGTTGGTACTGGATCTGTTCAAGCAAACTACAAAAAGATCTTCTAATTTTGATTTCACACTCCGAAGAATTATGTCTGCCTTGGCGGTAGGTGGAATGGAATTCAATCTCATGGACAAAATGGAAAAAACGTTGAGCAACGAGGCAAACACGTGGAAAGAATGGTTGGATTTAGATGCAAAGAGGTGCACAGGCGAAGCAGTTACTATGTAAATAGTCCTATTGTCATGGAGTTGACTATTCTACAGCAATTTAATGTGACGGCATCATGTGTGAAGTAAGGCATTGGTGTCAAACTGCTTTTAGATCATCAAACAGTCAGTAAAGGTAATGTCTGTAGTTTTTACATGTGTTAAATAGCATTACCAGCAGGTAATTATGCTTGGAAGGTTGTTTATTTTTTTGCTTCTCATGAGGCTGGTTGGTCGTATGGAACCACTGCATACATAAGGGCACTTAAACATGTTTTAGGCTTTGAATAATATGAACAAATATGACAACATGAAAATTGTAGCTATACAGTTCTCCACACACGGATGCCTTGTGATAGAGCACATGAATACTTCTGCAAGGGGGAGACAAGACACATGGTCAGATAGCGCATCTAACATCAACGACCTGGAGTTTGGAGTTTTTACCAAGCCTCAGTGCTGGACAAACAACAATAATAAATAAGATAAAATCACCCCTAAATTATGACCCTTTTAACCTCAACACAAGCTAATGAAGTTAAGCAAAGTGATTTCAGAGGATCTCCTATAGGTAATGTGAATGCAGCACTAACTAACCCGAGTGAAGTTAGCCCCCCCCATTCTTATTGAAATCAGACAAAACTGGTGTCAAACGTTGGTGCTGGTTTGTGCAGCAAACATTTCCGTTGGTTTGCTACCATTTTAAAAATATAAAGAAATGATTCTAGATGTCATCAAAGGTCAATCAGCCAACCCACCTTCTTCAAACCAAACAAAATGGGTGTCAATTAACCTGCCTCCGTTTGTGCAGCAAAAAGTGTCATTTGTGCTGATTTGTCTTTGAAGATATTAATGAAAAGGTAAAGGTCAAAAGGTCAACCAGCCCCCTTCACTTTTCTGAAATCAGACAATATTGGTGTCATTCACCTTAGCTATGTTTGTGCTGGCTTGTGCAGCAAAAAAAATCATTTGTGCTCCTATCATTCTAAAGATATAAAGAAAAATGTTCTCCAAGGGTCATCAGAGGTCAACCACTCCCCTGGCCCTGCTCACATTTGCAAAAAATAATTACAGTTGATGTCAATCAACTTTGCTACGTTTGTGCAGCAAAAATTATCGTTTGTGCTGCTATAATGTTTTTTTTAGGTTAAAATTAATTTATTTATATTCATTGGTTGGCAACTTATAATTTATATGAAATTCATAGTTTCAGCATGAACAGATGTTCACTGACCTTTGATGATCTCTACAAACTATTATTAATATCATTAAAATGATAGCAGTATATAAATAAAAATGTTGGCTATACAAGAATATAAGATTTTAAAATATATATTTTAAATATAAAATATTGAAAATAAATATATTTTAATATATATATTTAAAATATCTAAAATTTAAAATGCATTTTTTTAAATATATACATTTTTTGTACTGCTTTTTAGTATAGATAATGTAATATAGATAAAGAAATTTCAAATTGTTCAGAACATTCCACTTCAGGATATTACTGCTGCCACCTTCTGTACAGCGGAACTGGTTGAGGTCTTAATAATGTCCTCTAGGAACACTAAATCATATTTTAGGCCAATGATTGTTTAATGGTGGGCATGGCCATCCCTAGCCCCCCTTCTAGCTCAGTGCCTGGCTGAAAGCATTGGTAAAAACACAAGAGGAGACAAACACCAACCGCTGGTTGATGGAACAGTCACCCAACATTTGCAAATCAGACAAACTACCCACTGTGTTGTTTGGATTGTTTACAAAAAGGCCTATGACTTAAAGGCATAGTGGAGGATGATCTTTTTTTTCCAGGGGGGTCATCAAAATAAGCGGCCCTTCTAATTGTCAATCATCCTGGTGATATGTTTATGTAAGGCCGTCCTACATGCTCGTCCCCATTTTCACCTACTGGTGGCGAGTCTGACAGTGGAGAAATTGCATATCTTCTTTTGTAAAGTAAGATTGTATAAGCGATGTAACACCAACTTTTAAACAGCGTGCGCAAGGAGAAATGGGCTTGTGCACGCTCTCACACATGTTTAATAGGTGTTCCCTCTCGGGAGCAGAGACAGGGTTGTGCATGTGCAATTTTTTTAAAAGTGGAGACGGTGTTTCTTTTTTTTTAACTATACCCTTAATGCTACACAACTACACAATGCCTGAAGCTGTAAAAGGTCAACAATACTCTGAGAGCCTTCATTGGAAACTGTGGAAAATCTCCATTAAATGTGGAATACACCAAGGAGAAGCTCTGTGCCCCCTGCCATTCTGCATAGGCCTGAACCTCTTCAGACAAATAATCGAAACTGGCTTTGGTGGGCCACTGTTAGCCACCCGTACATTTCTGACATCAGGTTGTATGCGAAGAGTAAGCAACACATTTATTTGCTGATCAACACCACCCGAATGTCCAGCAGTGACATCGGAATGTCATGCAGCCCAAATTAAATATGGCTGAGTTAAACGTGGCCAGATGGTGACAAAGACTTATGCTTGATATCCCACTTGTATTTCGTTAAATGTTCCTTACAAAGTTGCCAAGTGGCACAGAAGCTGTACATTTTCTCTAGCTATCAACTGTTTTGGAGGATAATTCCAGCTGGATATATGACAACTTTTCTTGGCAGAATTGGCTAAATACAACCCAAACCCCTAAACCTCAGGCTTACCATAAATTAGAAAATTCTGCAGCAACTATCCACAGTGAACTTAGACTTAGACAAACTTTATTGTAATTTTGTATACAGTGTATACAAAACTTAATTTTTGATGTATACAGCTTTTCAACATTGAATGAGCAGCTTACAACAGTGAAATGAATATTTCCATTTATAAAGTGCAGCAGCGATCAGAATGTAAACAGTGTAGGAGAAAATGAAAACTAGTTTAAAGTCATGGTGCTAAAGGCATTTATATGGAAAGGTTCAGTGCAGTGCAAATAATTATAAATGGTGCAAAATGTAGCAGAAGTAATGCAGTAGATTATGTAAAAATCAGTAGTAGTAATAAAAATTAGTGATAAAACTCATTAGTGGGGATTATAAAAAAATCAGCTATGTTGGTATTGCAAATATGATGTTTACAAGTGTGATGGAGAGTCTTGATTAGAGTTTCAACAGTTCAACGGTCTCATGGCAGCAGGGAAAAAGCTGTGAAGTGAGTTTAACTATGATCTGCAGGATCTGATGGGGTGTATACCAAGTGAAAGGCAACTGATTTAAGATAAGCATTTTGAAGCATGAACGAAATGCACAACTAACCCCATTTATGAATCAGATGCCTCCTGGAGAACAGTTTCCATGTCTAATGATGCAGAGATTTAGCTACCGTATTTAACCGCAGTTGTAAAAGCAGTTTTTGTGATGTCAGGTAAAGCTATCCAAGAAAGACATTGGATATGTATGATTGTGGATGCACCATGTTGAGGATTTAGTTTACTGACAGTGGTAATAATGCAATATGCACAATGTATTCTAAGAAAATTTGAAATATAAGTTATTTTCTCGTTCTCAGAGTCAAACAGCAAGGGCAGCTTGAGGGCCATGAGAGCAGCTGTAAGCCTTGTCCTGTTGCTGCATCTTCGCCCGTTTGTGGCTCCGATGGACACAACTATGTTTCAGAGGTAAAGAAATATACAAACACACACACATATATATATATTTATAAGTTTATGTATGTATATTTGAGATACACCCAAACATCCAGAGAGGGAAGTGAAAGTGGCTGTGTCATCTCTTTAAATAACGAGATGAGGACCAGTCAAGTGTAGTTTCCTGCTGCACTGACACATAACGTGGGTGCAGCAAGGCGGCAGTTCATCACTGCTTACAGGAGGACAGGTGACACGGAATGAGCGTGGCCTTATGATTAATGGCATCCGTTGTTTCTGAGCAGCATCACCGTGGACCGTCCGCTGCCAGGACCCTATTGATTTAGTGTGCTCTTTTTAATTTTGACCTTGCATGCGAAAGACACAGGAAAATGACAGCTTATTCTCACTGCCTTTCCTTTAAGTGCAGTGTCTCGTCTGAACGAGCAATCTCTCTTTCCTGCGGACAGCCTCATAAATATTGTATCTGCATTCGTGCCTTTCTCGCCCTCTCATGCAGTGTAAGTTGGAGCAGCAAGCTTGCCTCACAGGGAAAGACCTCAGGATCATGTGTTCTGGATTTTGCCCCTGCTCCACAGCTCCTGCTGCAAACACTGACATTAAACGGGGCAAGTACCTTTTCTTTACCTGCAGTATTTTAAATGTCTAGTATCACACAAATAAACTCATTTTAGTCTCTGAAACAAAAAACAATTTAACAGAAAATACTGTTTGAACTGAAACTACGTTTATCCTGTAAGATGTGTCCTGAGATCTTCAAACCATGCAATATTTATTACCTTGAAGCCGTCATTATAAGATTATTTTTAGTTGTATATCAGTAAATGTTAAAGTTTTGATGAGGTGAAATGTCCCTATTATTCTAGTTAAGACATTTACTTTGGCCCACAGGGAAGAAAGAGAAGGTATGTTTTTTTTAAATGTTTCTTTAAACAGGTGTCCATAATTTTTACAATAATACAGCATTTTTACCTAAGTGATGAGTGTTTTTTTTCTCCTTACTGAGGGCTTAATCTCAACTGATTAATCAGTGATTTCTACCTTGCAGTCTGGTTTACTTCTGCCTTTTTAGAGCAAATTTGCAGCTTTTATTTTTTTAAGTTTTTGCTGTTGCCTTGGTTCTACTTCAACTTTTCTTCTTTAATTTCTGTGAATTTTCTGTCATTGGTACATTTTTCTTTTGCATCCTTTTTTGTTGCACATGTTTTTTATGGTGTAAATTCCTTTCCCTTACATTTAGAAGCAAAGAACACATTTTATAAGTAAAAAGAAAATTGTTATCTAGGAATGAAACTGTGAAAGCTTTCCCAGTAAAAAAGTCACTTTGCTAATTTTTCAGATTTCATTCTTTCAAACTGAATTTTTCAGACTGAGTTTTACATATCGCATTCTCTTGGGCTTAAAGTGAAGAGAATGTGATTTATAAAAACCTATTTAAGAAAAAGCAATTCTTAAAAATCATTGTAAAAAAAAGAGAAATTGGAAAACATTATTTGAATCTGTTAAAAGAGATAAGAGTTTGATCAAATAAAAATTAAAAATTTTAATTTGAAGAAGAAAAAAAAAGCATTGAAAACATTAAATGTAAGAACATAAAGATGTTACTTTCCAAACCTTTTTTCATTTATGAAAATTTTCTTCTGGATTCAATTTTTTTTTATTTCTTTTTACAAAATGTGTTTTTTTTTTATATCTATTTATAAAACATTTTCTCCTCTCCACAACAATAATAATACAAAATTCACTCTGTATGTTTTCAGCAAAAGAGTGTTTTTGAGTTTGCATCATTCCTGTCTCTGCAATGTGTTTTTGCACCTGTTGGTCATTATAGGCAGGACTATGGGGAGCCATGTATTACATTACCCAGTGTTTTCAAAAGTACACACATTTGTTACTTAAGAAGTATAGATACTGCAGTTTAAAAACACTCTGGTAAAAGGTGAAGTATAGACTTGACCTCTTTATTAAATTAAAAGTAAAAAAGTATGTGCTCGAAAAACTACTTAAAGTATAAAAGTATAAAGTAACCTTTAAAAAAAACAGCCAGATTCCACTATATGAATGGAAAGCTCAATTTTTCAACTATTTCGAAAAATTCTTTGAGATAGAGCCAAGGATGAGGGAGGTCTTGTTGGTCTCCCTCTCCATCTCCCAATATGATCTCGCCTGTGTCCGACCTTTGAGACATTTCTACTTCTTTTTCTGAATCCGACATTGTAGCATGGCATAGACAATTCACGTTTGCAGTTTGAAGAACACCTGCTTGCTTCTGATGATTTCCTTTAGCTAACCAATGAGTGTTTGCCTTATATGACTCATCCAATTACACTAGTTTTCACTAGATGTGGATGGCACCAATGATCTGCATTGGACGGGGCACATGATGTGAAATAGATATTTATAAACATTAAACCAGGGGTAACCAATTAAAAATCAGTAACAACAGATCGGTAATTACAAATTAGAGCATAATTCTTATATATTTCAAAAAACGAACACTGTTTATTTAAAAGATTGAATCCAAACTACTATTGGTCCTTCAACAGACCAGGAAGCAGATTTCTCATCTCCATATGCTGAATGCTGATGGTGATTTTTTAAATAATACATATTAAATAAGCATTAATTTCTGTATGTTTTGCTCCTACGAATTGAATGATAATATCGTGCATGCTCTCCTAAAGCTCAGAGGAAAAGTCGGAGCCAAGCAATAAGGGAGGAACAGCGGAGGCTGTAGGCTTTGCTTTGCACAGGCAGTCTTGAGCACCTGTTTTAAAAGTTTAAGGAATAGAAAGTACAGATACTTATGTGAAAATGCAATGAGTAGAAGTCAGAAGTAGGAAGAAAAATAAGTAATGGAGTAAAGTATAAATACCTGAAAAGTGTATTTAAGTACACTAACGAAGTATTTATACTTCATTAATTACCTTATACCTGTCTTGTGGATTCCAGACACTGTATATGGTTTACCAGGTCTGCCACTTAGCCACAAGAACTCCCTGGTTAAGAACAATCCACTCTTTGAATTAATTAGCAATTGATATAACAGTCAGTAAATTTTAGATCATGAGATTAAAAATATTTTGATCGATGGATTGATTACAGTTCCTCATAATTCTCAACACTAACACATTACATGACTAAGGGGTGTAGCCTCTTTGGAGGCCAGCAGTTTGGACATTTGGAATCAGTTCAAAGTGTCATGTACTCTTGCTCACTAAGAAATAATTAAATATTAATAGGGGTGTACTGACTTTTGAGAGATATTTGAAATTGCTTTATCAACTCGTTTTTTTTTTGTTTTTTTGTTTCTTTAAGGAGTTACAGCAAATGTTAATAAGAAAACACATTTTCTCACTAAGCAAATCCACTGAACTCTTCTTCCCACTCTGGGATCGATACTTACCAATACTCTGGGATTATCGTTAGCCAAAAGTTCCCCTTGTGGATTCCTGCTCTTTCAATCAGGTAGTAATTAATTATTTAGAGTGTGCACAATCTATCAACAGACCCAAACACCATTGATTGCTGAGGCTCAGGGGCACATAAAAACTGCCATTCGGCCCAACATATGAAATGTTGCTTCATCTGCAGCCTTGAATGACTGTTTCTTGAAAGAGAAAGTGATTTGCTACATCAGTTAGCTGTAAGAAAGATCAGTGGTTTGAATCAGTCGAAGCATGACAGTATAGAGTCCCTGTTTTACTCTAAAGAAAGAAAGTTTTGTTTTGGAGAATCTAACAGTGGTGGGATTTCCTTATTTGTTCCTCAGAGAGCTGCACTGGCCAGGACCTGGCTGACCTGGGCGATCGCCTTAGAGACTGGTTCCAGCTTCTTCATGGAAATGCAAAGCAGAACAACTCTGGCAAGCTGGGTGCTTCCTCGGGTTAGAAACTCACTCAGTGAAGTTTAACTATGCAATGAAAGCAGAGACAGATTTTAGTGATGTGTGTTTTATTTCTGACAGTGTTGGAAAAAAGCCTGGTAGCCAGCTGCAAAGACTCCATTGGCTGGATGTTTTCTAAACTGGACACCAACAGTGACCTGTATCTGGACCAGGCTGAGCTGGCTGCCATTAATTTGGACAAGTATGAGATTTGCATCCGTCCCTTCTTCAACTCCTGTGACAGCTACAAAGATGGGAAGGTCTCCACAGCAGAATGGTGTCTCTGCTTCTGGAGAGAAAGTGAGTAAAGTTAGCGACTGAAAACAGAGTGTTTTCCTTAGTGTGACACAAGGAAAAGGTTGGAATCACTATAAATTGTTGGAAGAGATACATAAAAACTAATTACTTAAAAAAATCCACTGTTAACATTGTAATAGGACAATAGCTTGATAATGAATAAAAAGTATTATACTTTAAGTTTTCCTATTTTATCCTATTTTATTATGACCACAAACATATTTTACTCTCCCTTGAAAAATATTAAGGGGCTCAAATTCATTTTAGAAGGCATAGCATATTATATTTATGTTTTAATTCGTATGATAAATTTCACTGAACTTCAGCATTAAATTAATCCAACCTACAGCAGTTTTACGAGTTTAGCCATTTTTCCTTATCGCTCGATTGTTTGATATTCATATACAGCTCTGACTAGAAAACCTGTCATGATTAGAAGTTCAAATCCAGGCAGCAGCAGTCCTGATTGATTTTTTTTACTAAGTCCCTGATTGCTCTCTCTGTTCTCTTTTCAATTTTTACTTTTAACATAATTTAGGACCGAACAGATCTGTCCTTTTTTTGATCATGCAGTAGCACAGGTTGGCACATTTAATTAACTAGAAAAGAAATCACGAAATGATGGTTCTTGCTGCCACTTTTTCCCGAATATTTCAACGACTTTACTTAAAAGTGGTCTAGTATCTCGTATTGATTCTCATCTTTTAGAGCATTATCTGGCTTAAGGTATGACGATGCACCATATTCTTAAAATTGAATACAAAGTCAACATGCGAAATGAGGAATGTCTCCATTTGACCTTTAATTTAGCAGGCAACCTCATTTGTCTGCATTGATCAGGTGTTTAATGAGAATGCAATAGATTTAGCTGACTGCCTAATCCATTCCTTGACAGACCACTCTCAACTAATTAATAAAAATGTGTAAAACTTTTTTTTTTTTCTGGGATGCACCAGTCTAGGATATTTTAACCAATTTCTAATCGTCAGTTGTTGCAAAACGCTCCATTGCAGATGAAATGTTATTTTAGATGTAACTGTTTGTTAAACACAGCAATTTTTCACAAACAGAATATCTTTCTCTAACCCAAAACATCTTACAAGTGATGAGACAAAACTATTTATAATTTAAAACCCATCCGAAAGAAGTGCAACATACCAGATTTATTTATTCACAAAACAGAGCTTTCATCTTTACGCAACTATGCAGTTAAAGGGATAGTTTAGGTTTTTGGACATAAAGTTGTGTGACAGTCTCCTGTCATGAGAAATCCTTTGATAACATTTCTGTCTTTAATTTTGGTTAAAAAAAATCTTATCCTCTTGTCTTATCTCTTCTTCTTCAATAGCTGAGATGAGGGGCTGGGTCACAAGCCTGAGGAGCTGTTCGAGCTGTAGTTATCTATAAACGATATTTACAGTTTAAAGGGCTAGTATATATGTTTCATCACTGATAATGACCTAATAGTTCACTTTAAAAACAGACTGAAATCAGCCTCGTTGATTAGCTGTTTCACTTATTTGTTGTTTTAGGAACTGTCTTCCAAACCTCAGCTGCAGAGTGATAGCAGCCATAAAATAGTCCAAATTGATTTCAATGTCTGACATAGCTCAGGTATGCTTTAAAGTTGTTGAAATAATCTAATAAAATACATGCATAATACTTCTAGCTTAAAAATGGTTGATTATTTGCGCCCCCGTACCATATGGGAACTACTTTTTCTCTGGTACGTTACCGCCATTTCTCATTGCAGGAGGCTCTGTGATCGTAGTAACATGGTTACATCTCAGCTACAGACGGTGAACATTTTACACAGCTTCATCTCAAAACACCTCAACTATCCATTCAAACATGTTTAAACTATTACTCTGTTGTCTTAGCAACCTGGGTGAACAAATCTCCAAAAATAAAACAATTTCGTTTCAGACTGAAATGTCCTTTTGAGATTATACCCTTCTAAATAATTAGAGTTAACATGTAAAACTGTCAGTTGCATTTTATATTTGCACTGTGTGATTAGCTGTCTGGATCCATTGTAGATTGGTCTTGCTTTGACTAAAATGATCAATAATATTTCTTGAGAGATTCCATTTGAATGATCAAAAGAATAAAACAGAGCAGCAGATGTGTCCCCAAATACTTGCTTTCCTAGAAGCGTCTTCCATCTTTTTTACTTCCTCTGAATTCATAATTTTAATATAATTGTGTGTTGTGTGTGTGGCCTTGTAGTGCTTGGTATGGTGCGTTCAGTGACTGTAAGGATGATTCGAATTTTAGTCTTAGGCTAGCTGATCACATTTTAGAGCCAGCCAAGCATAAGATTGACTCAAGGGGTGGCCACCTGATTTATTGGTGCATCCCTAAACATGTTTTGTTCTTCTATTTATGACTCAGACTTTTTTTTTGTAAACTTCCATAAATGCTTTTAAGGATTTTCACCCTTTGTGAGTTTGACACAAATTGTCTGTTTCTACTTCAGGTGCAGCTTGTACATGTTCTTTCAGCTAAATTTTCACAATTACTCATGCTCTGGGATTTAAACACAATACTTCTTAATTCAAAACGTAATTGTGAAGAAGGTTGATTTAGATAAAGTTTTAGAAGAGCCCTTTTAGGTTTCTGACTGTCATCACTTTTTGTTTGATTCTCGCAGAGCCTCCGTGCCTCGCTGAGCTGGAGAGGATCCAAGTGCAGCAGGCGGCCAAGAAGAAACATGGTAAATGCATTTTTTTTTTAGCAAGATGCTGTGAAGTTTGAAAAGCGTATTAAATCCTAACTTGCATTTTAGACATAAGCTCATTGGGTAGTCATCTAAAATCCAGGAACCATACCACATTGCAATTACTCAGAAGTCACACCATTCAGCTTTTTTGCCCTCACACTCTCTACAGATTTCCAGGTGAAGTCGTGAAACAAAGAGGCTGGATATGCAGACAAGAAGCTGTAGGGGGCTAATTAAAGAGATCACAAGCACACAGCAAGGATTAGGTCCTAATCAGGCTGGAGGGGATTAGGGGGCAGTGCTGGCTTTGGAAAAGAGCAAGGTTAATGTAGACACTTGACTCCAGAAGAAACCCCACACTGAAGCATTTGCAGCAAATAACCCTCCAGCAGCTTTTGTTTTCAACTCAAACTTAGAAAACTCAAACAGCTTCTTGTGTTTTTTCTAGTTATCTCAGCTGTGGGTCAGGGAGGCTCTTGTTAGAAAACTTTGCTCTGAGTTTGACAAGACTGTCTTAAGGGAGGCTGAAGTGGCGGAGCTCAGTCGCAGAGGCTGTCACTACGTTTTAACATGCCACTCACACAGTATAAGGAAACACAAACTGAACAGACATACTGTGTAAGATGACATCCAACAGCATATCCATGCAAGAGTAAAATAAACCAAAAAGCTGTTGATGTCTCTGCTGGATATATTACCTGAAATAAAAATGTGATATTTATTCTTCAGTGCTGTAGAGCAGATCAGCATTATATTAAACTGGTGTTTTTAATTAATTATTTTACACCTGATGATGCAACATGAATAAATAAATAAATAAAAAAACAATGTAACAATGCAATGTAGTGAAGTTATTTTTCTTAAAAACTGAAAAGGCCTTCTCTTACCCCCATTAATCACATATTTTGTAGCTAAGACGCTTCGGGAATAATAATGTTTGAATATTTGACGTCTTATCAGAAATGTTCCCATTGTTTCTTTATTTTTTTAGGTCAGTTTCCTGTCACTGTCAGGTTGTTTGGAGATTTTGAGGACCCAAATGCAGAAAGGAGTTGGCACGGATGAGTTTGATAAAAGTGATTTAATAAAAGTCCAAGGGGAACAGAGGCAAAAATACAAAATACTAAAAACCAAACAAAAACCAATAAACACCAGGGAAAATACTTGAGGGAAGCTAGAGACTTGAAGACAACAAAACAACCCTCTACAACACACAAGAAACATGCACTGAATGAAGGCTCTGGTGCTATTTTAAGCCCATCACTATGATTATAAAGATTATTTTCACCTGTGTAGGCTCCCCAAGTTCTCCACATACAGTAGATCCTCTATAGAGAGATGCACAATTCGCACTTACCCACACACAGGAACCCTGACCGTCACAGATTTCAGCTTCATAAATATCCAAAGAACCTGCATTCATCCAACTTTAATCCCAGACCCTGTTTGGATGCATGTGTTTTGTTTTTTTCCAGCATTTTTATTGTCATTATGCTGTCACAAGTACAGAGCAATGAAATCAACTCTGCATTTAACCCATCTCCTTGGGGAGCAGTGGCAGTGGGCTGCCATTGTGCGGTACCCAGGGAGCAGTGTGGGGTTGTCTGTGGTAGTCTGTGGGGTTCAACCTCAGTGCTATGGGTCCTTCTTGCCTAAGGACCCATAGCTGATTCCCCCCAGCATTCCACTAGGCCGCCACTCTCCAAAGCAGGCATTAGCTTTGGGGAGTGGGTTTCAAATATTTCAAACATTTCAAATAATTCTCTCTTTGATTCATAGTGACAATTGTTCATTACTTTTTCTTCTTATTTAGTTTGTTGTGTTTTTGCTGTTTGTTGTGAAACATGATTACTTTGCAGCTTCAAAAATCTTATCCTTTAAATTAAACTCACTTCCCAGAGGAGATGATTGAAAACAAAGCTAGTTTTTGAAAGCAGTTTATGTCATTTTTTATATTATAAAACTTAAAAGAGGAAAAAAAAAATATTAACCTGATTTGGCAGGAAAACAAAACCTTACTGTTGAGTCAAAAATCTATTTCAAAATGCCACCTCCAGAGGAAAGAAAATATTGGAAATGGCTATGAAAACAAACCATTAAGAGCCATTATGGTTCAAATTTACATAAACTATCTCTGTATATAGTAAAACCAGTCTAACATCAACAATTCTAGCCCACAAAGATCCCTGTCCTCCAAAATGAATCGATTTAAGGTGAAATGACATAAAAAATCGATTTAAGGTGAAATGAAATAAATGACAGTCATACTAATAGTGATTGTACATAAACCTATCAGTGCCGTAGTATGTGTTACGGGGGTACATAATATGCTTGTTTTTAGGCACCTATATCCCCAGTTGTGATGAGGACGGCTACTATAGGAAGGTGCAGTGTGATCAGAGCCGAGGTGAATGCTGGTGCGTCGACCTGCATGGAGAGATGTTTGGCTCCAGAATCCAAGGAAATCCAGATTGTGGTAAGGAGGTTATTGAGATTGATCAACTTTTTTGACCTATTTTTACTCCAAACCCCAAATAACCTTAAAAAAAAAAACATTTTTTATTGCAGAATAATGCTAATGATCTTATTTTTAATAGAATCAGTCTTATTGATAAAAATTTCCATAAAATCGTTACTAGTAAGAGCAGGTGGGATGGTTCAACAGAGCTATGGCTCTGGGTGAGTTTGGCAACTATATTAAAAAGATGTCTTGGGTTATTCTTACTCTCCTCTGTTAATTAGGAGAAATATGCTGCTCTAGCTTTACAAAGGGTCATCTTATACAACAGAAAATTATTTTTCCAGACTAGGTATGATTCCCATAGGCATGTAGAGTGCCATTTTCTTTCCAGTTTAATGGCATTTTGCTTCTAAGTGCACAGCTCTGCATTAAACTAGGGAGCCAGCTTTCTATTTTTAAATCTCTTCCTTTTTCAAAGGGGGTACATTGTCTAAGGCAGTACCCAAAGAACTAGCAACCCCATCAACAAAATCATCAACCTGTGTGTGGCAATAAACTAAACTGTGAAACTCCACAGGAACAACAGGGCTAGGGTGGGGAAAAAACTGTAGCATAATCTATAACTTTTGGAGTCTAACAAGTATATTGTAAAAGTTTCACCTCAATAACAGGTCATATCTTTGGACTAAACCTTGACCTTAAATGTGCTGCTGGAGGCAACGCTTAGAAAAATCAAAACTTTGGGAAATTTAATCCTAATACTTATTTCATCAACCTATTCCAGATGATGTAGCTGGATATTCAGGAGACTTTGGTAGCGGAGTTGGATGGGAAGATGAAGAGGAGAAGGAGGCAGAGGAAAACGGCGAGGAAGCAGAGGAGGAGGAAGAGGAGGAAGGCGAGGCGGACGACGGAGGCTACATCTGGTAGAACTGTCTCACCCTGAACAGAGAGCACAGCAGCTGGTCTACAACTCTACAGGCGTGGCTCTCACCTAAAAGAGGGAATTCTGGAATAAAACTGGAGAGGAAGGGGATTGTTATTCTGTTATAGGAGGATGAGCTGTTATTTTTCTTTATTAGATACAGGTGCTGGTCATAAAATTAGAATATCATGAAAAAGTAGATTGATTTCAGTAATTCCATTTAAAAAGTGAAACTTGTATATTATATTCATACATTACATACAAACTCATATATTTCAGATGTTTATTTTGTTTAATTTTGATGATTACAAATGACAACAAATGAAAATCTCAAATTCATCATATCAGAAAATTAGAATATTACTGAAAACAAAGGATTTATAGAAATGTTGGCCAACTGAAAAGTATGAACATGAAAAGTATGAGCATGTACAGCACTCAGTATTTAGTTGGGCCTCCTTTGGCCTGTATTACTGCAGCAATGCGGCGTGGCATGGAGTCGATCAGTCTGTGGCACTGCTCAGGTGTTATGATAGCCCAGGTTGCTCTAATAGTGGCTTTTAGCTCTTCTGAATTGTTGGGTCTGGTGTATTGCATCTTCTTCTTCACAATACCCCATAGATTTTCTATGGGGTTAAGGTCAGGAGAGTTTGCTGGCCAATTAAGAACAGGGATACCATGGTCCTTTAACCAGGTACTGGTAGCTTTGGCACTGTGTGCAGGTGCCAAGTCCTGTTGGAAAATGAAATCTGCATCTCCAAAAAGTTGGTCAGCTGCAGGAAGCATGAAGTGCTCTAAAACTTCCTGGTATGTGGCTGCGTTGACCCTGGACCTCAGAAAACACAATGGACCAACACCAGCAGATGACATGGCACCCCAAACCATCACTGACTGTGGAAACTTTACACTGGACTTCAAGCAACGTGGATGAAGTGCCTCTCTTCTTTTCCTCCAGACTCTGGGACCTTGATTTCCAAAGGAAATGCAAAATTTACTTTCATCAGAGAACATGACTTTGGACCACTCACCAGCAGTCCAGTCCTGTTTCTCTTTAGCCCAGGCAAGACGCTTCTGACGCTGTCTGTGGTTCAAGAGTGGCTTGACACAAGGAATGCGACAGCAGAAACCCATGTCTTTCATACGTCTGTGTGTGGTGGTTCTTGAAGCACTCACTCCAGCTGCAGTCCACTCTCTCTTTGTGAATCTCCCCCACATTTTTGAATGGGTTTTGTTTCACAATCCTCTCCAGGGTGCGGTTATCTCTCTTGCTTGTACACTTTTTTCGACCACATCTTTTCCTTCCCTTCGCCTCTCTATTAATGTGCTTGGACACTGAGCTCTGTGAACAGCCAGCCTCTTTAGCGATGACCTTTTGTGTCTTGCCCTCCTTGTGCAAGGTGTCGATGGTCGTCTTTTGGACAACTGTCAAGTCAGCAGTCTTCCCCATGATTGTGTAGCCTATAGAACTAGACTGAAAGACCATTTAAAGGCTTTTGCAGGTGGTTTGAGTTAATTAGCTGATTAGAGTGTGGCACCAGGGGCCATCAATTTTGAACCTTTTCACAATATTCTAATTTTCTGATATGATGAATTTGAGATTTTCATTTGTTGTCATTTGTAATCATCAAAATTAAACAAAATAAACATCTGAAATATATGAGTTTGTATGTAATGTATGAATATAATATACAAGTTTCACTTTTTAAATGGAATTACTGAAATCAATCTACTTTTTCATGATATTCTAATTTTATGACCAGCACCTGTATGTGTAATGGCTTCAACCTTTTCTCAGATTTTTTTTTAACTAGAGATTTGTGTTTTACTGTCCTGTAAAAAAGGGTAGCCACTGACTCTTGCGCCATCAGTAAGTAAAGTCCGTAAAAATTTGTATCTTGTACTATCACCATCTATGCATAGAGAGATTATAAGTAATTTTGTATCGTGTAAACGGTTGGTTACATATTAAAGTTGCCCTGCCACTGGAACAAAGAGAGACTTTGGTACATACAAACAGTTTGACACTTTGGGAGATAAGCTTAATTGTTTTCTTAAAAATGTATTGATGAGATGAACACTACCACTCTGGTAAATAGGAGGGGCTAAGATATAAAAGGCTTAGCTTTGTGTAAAGCTTGTCTAAAAGAGGTTTGAATAAGACATTGGGAATGTTATGTGTGTACCTACACAAAAGGTGAAAATGTTCCTGTAAATGTGAATTTAAAAATGATTTTTGTTTTTACACTTATATAATAATTGAATAAGAAAGGATGGAGGGTAGGTGAAATTCATTTAATTTCATTATATTACAGGCCCATCTGATTCAGCACTACTGAAACACTAATCAATGAAGTAAATAACATTGATTTACCACATACCCTCCTAAACGTAGTTGCAGTCCAATTAAAACATCCTCTGTCTGCTCTTGTAACAGCTTCCTTCATCAATGCAAAGTCTGCTTAGTTAAGGTTTCTTCCTTAGTGGTTTCACTGTCAATATTTAGATGCTATGCTACGCGACCAACCCAACCCCGACAGGGCCATGTGCTGTGAATTGCTAAAGTATTCATACCCATAAAACCTTCACACCTTTTGGGAGTTTGCAAGCGATGATGTCAATGTAACTTTGGAGGATTTTAATTTTATAATATGGACAAACACAAATAAGTAAATCATTGTGTAGGCCAATAAAATGATAGGCTATATCTTTGTTTTTAAGTATTCTTTCTTACAAAATAAACTTATTAAAGTGTGGATGCCTTGCAGTGGAGTTCAGCACCCAGTTTACTACATTTTGCAGCAGCACAGCTCTCTTTTCAGGTATGTCCCTCCAACCTTTGAGTATCTGTCGATTTTTTCCTCATTCCTTGTTGTAAGGTAGTTATACCTCCATCAGATTGGATGGGGAGCATCTCATCTGGATTTAGGTCGGTACTTTAACTGGGCCATTCTAAACATATGAACATGCCATTACATAAGCAACTATATTGTAGCCATGGATGTACTGCTATCGTCGCCGTCCTGCTGGAAGGTAAACATTCCCATGTACCGTAAGCCTAAAAGTGTTTTCTTTTCCCTGCAACTTTATTCCTTTTCTGTCTGCTGTGATATTTTGCTTCTCAAAGCACTATTTATACTGAGATTTAATTACACACAGCTTGACCCAATTTACTTATCAGGTGATTTCTAAAGGCTGGTGGACTTTCATTTTTGTATGGGTACCAAAATAAAGGGGGCTCAGTACAAATTAAGACCAATTTTTACAGTTTTATTTGAGAACAGATTTGGAAAACTATCACTTACCCTCCAATTTTGTTAATCTGTTACATTTAATCCCCATACATGCATAATAGTTTGTGATTGTAACATCACAGTATTTTGAAAAAATTAAAGAATGCCTTTAAATCATGCAAGTAATGTTTATCCCTTTGAGATAAAGCTAGACCATCACAGGTGGTTTTATTATTTTTTATAGAGCTAGTTGTTCTTGTTTTTTAAACATTGAAATGCTAAGAAGCAGTGCATCACAGGGGCCAGTTAGATTGATAAATGTTTATACATATATTGTCTTAATGGTTTTAAATATTAATCTGTGGAGTCTGGAGCTTAAAGAAGAACATTTTAGGACATGTGAAACGTAAAGGTATAGTGGAGGATTTTCGTGAATTTTTGAAAAGACCCGTCCGCTGCACTTTAAAACAAAATATGCACATGCACAACCCTGTAGGGAACACCTTTTAAATGCATGCAAGAGCATGCAGGAGACCATTTCTCCTCATGCACACTCTTTTTAAAAGTCGCTGTTTGCATCACTTATACAAGCTTACTTTCCAAAAGAAGATTTGCCATTTTGACACTATGTCAGAATCACCACCGGTAAGTGAAAATGGGGACAAGCACGCAGGACAGCCTTACATAAACATATTACCAGAATGATTGACAATTAGGAGGACCACTTATTTTGATGATTCACTAGGAAAAAGAACATCCTCCACTTTACCTTTAAGAAGTGTGTGGTTGTTTAGCTTCCCATGTTTCGGACATAGCAGCCTTACAGAAACTTTATCTACCAGCAGGAAATAATAACTGGTATTTTTCTGCATGCAAGAGCAGCAAACCAACCTGAATGCAATGCGGCAAAGCAAAATCTGAAACGGAAACTGATTAAAAAGCAGGATTATAACCTACCAGTGTTTGCAAAATGACAAGTCGCAGAAAAGCTGTGGCTCTCTGCTTGAAGTTTGGGATAGAAGAAGTTATTACCCCTCTGGAAATGTTGTGACCCCATATGTGAATCCTAAAATCATCTCCAGCTAATGGCCATTGAATGATACAATCAATAGTCCCAAGAGACATTGAATTTAAATTTCTGAGTAAATAAAACAGAAAAAAATAGAAGAGCACCTGTTCGTGATGGTTGTATGAGGAAGCAAACTGTTGCATACAAATTTACTGCTCATTTTGTAAATGTTGCTGATCAGCTTTGTTTTCTCCAGTTTATATCAAAAGGCCAGAAAGTTGTGAGTTTAGAAAATGTAAGCAGTGGCTTTGTTCATCTTTGATATTTATATTTGACTAAATTGTCAAACTGTGTCTTTATAGCGGTTCACTAACATACTTTAGAACTCAATATGTATATACATCCATTGTAGAATCTGCAAGTTTAGAGGATTTCAGGTTGCTTTGGTTGCAGATTACTATTAATTGGATGCACCACAACACAAAGCTGTTGAAAGTGTATTTTGTTTCTGAATTAAATGGATACACACAGCTTCCTGCGGTCCTACTTTACATTTCTAGTTGAAAGATGAAACTGCAACCAATAAAAGCTCCTGTTCTTGACGTACACGTCAAAGATTGTGCCCAAGTTGTTATTTTGTTTTTTCGAGTTTGCAACTTAAAGTTCTGGATTTAGTGTTTGTACAGAAAAAAAAGTGCATCACTTGAAGTTCTTTGTGTTTACTTGAATTTGCAATGTAGTTTTTTTTCTATGAGAATATTGTTGCTATGTCTTTGTTCATGCTATCAGCAGGGCAGATGCTTGTTTTTAGTATTGCATGTTAGTAAGAATGTACTTCTATGCTGAGCACTTTACAAATAAAGGCACTGGGGCCAAGCAGAGCGATGACATCAAGCTTTTTTTTTTTTTCTTGCTTTAGAGAATAAAACAAATACTTTGGTTAGAATTTAGGAATTAAATAATATATATGTCTTTACATTTCAACAAATTTTATTGGAATAATGAAACATTTCCTGGAATAAAAAAAAAAAGAAATCTTGTACTTTTAAGAGAAAATTGCACAGTCAGTGAAGATGAGTTAATATTCCAGAAATAAACTTTTTAATAGAGTGATTAGATCCATTGTGTGAGCTCCTACTTTAACTAAAAATAATTTGCATTATCTCATTTGTGATGATAGAAAACAATATAGTCCATCTGAAAGAGGGACAACTTAGTACCAGAATATCAGGAGCAACACAAGGAAGGTATAGATACCCAAAAATGACAAAAACACCAGAAAAATGAGTTGGATATAAAATAAAATTTTATTATATTAAATCCCTTACAAGAATTACATCTCTTATTCATTTTGTGAAATACACTCTCTGTTTAGTCATTAAGCATTTTACTTTTGCCAAACTATTTATTATAATACTAGAGAAATAAAAACGTCCATCCCTTTTAATGCCAACTGAAAGCTGGCTGCTGTACAAGAATTAACATCTGTATTATACATGATTTACAGTAGTTCAGCAACACAAAGTAAACTTTCCAACCAAACAGAATAAGACTTAACACCCGTATTCTGTATAAAAAAGTTTGTATGTTTTACTTATTTGCATCATTATTACACCTAACATTCCAAAGGTTAGCTTGCCTATAAAATATGGAGAAAATGGTTAGATTCAAAGATCAAATATTCTTTCTTTAGGTTTTGTAGGACAGAGACTAACACAGTTTTTTTATCCATAGAAACTCCTACACAAAAAAAAAATAAATAACCGACCACAACACTCATTTTTATTCATTTTCTAAAGTGCACTCTCATATCTTTTCAGATAATCAAAAAGTACATTAGAAGCACTAAAAATTAAATGCTACTTGCGCATAAAAATATTGCTAACCATTAAGTTTCACTTTAAATTGGATATAAGTCTGAGCTTAATTAAAGAAAGACCATAACTATCAGGAAGAACAGAAACGGCTGCAGTTAATGCTGCACTTAATACGAACAAATGGAAAATAAGAACGGATGGAGAATTAATTATAGCCTTTGACTTACTTTCAGGGTTAAGTCATCTCTGCTACAATACTGCTGGCTATTCATGTTATTGCTTTCTTACATTTCCAGAAGTCATTCAAACTTACACAATTCAGATATTATGAATAAAATAATTCGATAAATAAATAATTTCTCAGGGATGTTGCTATAGAGACAAACAATAATGAAACTATGCAGCTTACCAGTTAAATGTAACATCTTTTGCTTTTTTTTACATTTGTAGGTGAGCATTCAAAAAATTGTGAATGACCCCTTAGGGACATACTCTATATGAGGCATTAATAATAATGCTTCATTGAACCTGGCTGTTTACTTTTTCACATTTTAAAGGGAAGTCATCGTTAGTGATGTTATAGTGATGCTATAAAAAAAGCCATTAATTTTTGTCTTCAAATCACAAAATAAATGTTTCAAAGTAAAATGTTTTGAAAGAAAAGAAAGACAGAAATCATAGCGGTTCAAGTGATTATGCTTTTAGCTGTAACCAATATAAATATTGGTTTCCATATGGCTGATTTTTCAGATAAAAGTGACTTATGTACGTAAAATAATTTTTATAAAGTGCAATGCTCAATATTGTTTTTTTATTCTATTATTAAATATATTATTAAATAGCATCAAATTTTTATATTTATTGGTCAATTCTTTGAACAGAACACATCGATAATACTCCATTAGCAGGTTTCTTAGTCCGCATGAATAGAATATCACCGTTATATTTTCAAACTGGTAGCTTGAAAAAAACAACTATAACTCTTTGAAACTCTTTTTAAGACTTTGGTAACATGATGGATGATGATATATGTATTTAAGTGTTAATAGTAATCAACTTGTAACCGTGGAAGCCTAAATAAATAAATAAAAATAAATAAATAAATGAAAGGATTCTCATTGATAAGCTTTTTAATTTGAATCCTCCAATAGTGCTTCTGTTTGTTCACCCTCATATCTGGTTTGTTGAGGGGATTTAGTGTTATTCTGGTTTGGTGCTCAGTAAGAAAAAAGAAATCTTGTTGGAATCCAATCCATCTCTCTGTTAATCCCCAAGAAATTAGCATACATATTTGGCTTTGTGCTTTGGAGGTAGCGGCTGCGCATCATCAGGTCAAAATTAATCCTGTCTTTCCTCATTTGCAGTAGAACTTGTAAAAAAATCTAATCTAAATCCCAGCCATATCTGTCAGAAATCAGACAAGCTTTAAGCTACCCTAAACGAGTCCTTGTGTGTCGTCATTCACTCACTAATACATTTATAAATCAAGCAGCTGATGCGTTAAACAAATAATCCAAGTCAGCAGAATATAAATCTACAATCCTACAGATGGTTTATGTATTCTAATTAAGTACTTAACACGCCGTGCAACTTTCTCACATTATTAAAGCAGTTTTTGTTTGCATAGAAAAATTGAAATGTTTAACACGTTTTTTCTTTCCAAGATTATAATTTTCATTGGTTGATAATCTTTAGATTTTCTTAACTTATCCTCTCAGTCTATGTATTGTGATAGCCATCTAAAGCCTTCCCCGTAGCCTTGTTTCTTCAAAACGCTGCACATGAATATCTCCAGCGGGCGAACGCTCTGGTCATTCACAGAGAGGTTTCCCTGTTGATAGGAAACAGAATAAATAGAGATTCTCCTCAGTCTGTAAGTGAAACTCTTAAAGTATACCTACCTTTCCGGTCACCTGGCCATCTAAACCAAAAGCTCCTCTCAGTGCTCCTTCACTGACGGCCTCTGGGCGGTCGATTTTATTACCCAGCACCAATACTGGTACACCGGCTATGGTTTCATCTGAAAGGAGAGCCTAAAGGATCACAGAACCAGCAGTGTAGTTATTTTAAATCAATCATAGCAAACATCCAGGAGCACTTAGTGCTCACATCTAGAGATGTACACTCCACTTTCAACACTTAACACACACTTGCAACTCACATCGAGTTCAGTCTTTGATTCTGCAAGTCTTTCATGATCAGCAGCGTCAACAAGAAAAACAATCCCATTCACAGCTGGCAGGTAGTTCTTCCAAACTCTGCGAGCTTTAAATGAAGAGAAAACTCTTTGTCATTTCGTTGTCCTCCCAGCGATCAACACGACAGTCAAATTATACATTAGTCAACATTGATTGGATCTTTTAACACTTCAGAATAATAATCATAAGTATTTAACCTGGAGCTATGACAGATTGTTCTTTAAATCAGAATAACAAACGATGCCAAACCATAATATTTGACAACATAAGTAGTTCTTTGACTGGACTTGGTGACTTTAGGACAGGAATATCTTTGGATTGGAATTATTGAAGCTCTGCCTAGATGTTTAAGGTTGTTGTTTTTAGCCCTTTCCAACTCCCCAATCTGCTCTGACAAACTTTTCATGTTCCTGCTGAAGAAAAGCACCCCCAAAACATCATACTGGCACCACCGTGTTTCAGTATGCAGACAGTGCTCAGGGTGATGTGCAATATTAACATTAAAAATAGCTTTTCCTGGTTCCCTTCACTGCATATAGCTAAGTTAGCTAAAATGCATGGAATTAAAATGAGAAAACAACTTAATGTTATTTCTATTCAGAAAAGGAAATATAACGAAAAGTCAGATCCTTCTTTAGAATTTCAGAGGGAAAGTAAATCCTTAACAAAACTGCATTACAGTTAAAATCCGTGCATGAACATCAGCTGACTTTTTAATGACAGCAATGCAGAGACACCAAGTGGCAGCACAAAGAACTGCAGAAACTGTCAAACCTAATATAACAATTAACATTTTCTGGACATATGTAATAAATATTATAGTGAATACACCTCCTGGGCAGCTCTCTACGCTTGGCCAGACCAGAGCTAAATCTGCGTAGAGGATTTCAATAATGTAGCTTTTGCATTTGAACACTGCTTCAATAAAGAATGGCGACCTTCTACATGCTTATTTGGGGATAAATATATCTATACTGATCCATAAAGCATAAACCGCAAAAAACAGAAACATAGAAGAGTTGGCTGCATCAAGCTCACCTTGTACATGTCCTCCTAAATCAAATGTGGTAAATGTCATTCCACCAATTGTCAGCTCCTCTGAGGCTTTGGGTGGAAGTGAACAGATACAGATTTAATTAAATAGGAAACACAAGGCCAGGGATCACACATTTTAATATACAACACCATGCTCTCATTCCACACCTTTGTGCACAGTTTTATTAAGTTATCACTTTCTCTATGTTTTGCACCTAAGGGACAGCCTTTTTTTTTTCATCTAATGAAAATGCGTTTAATTGAAATTATTTCAGGGTTTCTAAAGATCTGGTTTTGTAGATGCACTTTAGACACAGTCTGCTTTTTCACTTCTATTAATTCAGTCATTTGGGTCCATAACCTGACAATAAAAGCTCTTTAACTCTGATCTATGGATTTAAAGTAAAGTTTTAAACTATTTATCCTCAGCCACTTGTTAATGACTATCTCAAAACTAACTGTTTACTTTTCTTTAACTGAACATAGAAAAAATGCTAAACTTAACAGATTGGCTGATAATATAATATTTTTGCACCAATAAGGCAACATTTTACCCAAGCTGTTTTGTTTTTTATCTGTACTGTTTTATGTTTTATCTATTTTTTCTGTACAGCATTTTGGTCAGCTGTGTTTTAAAGGTGCGTAACAAATAAAATTGGATTGGATTGCAAGAGATGTTTTACTTTATCCTTTATATAATTCATACTCTATAGATACTTGATTTTGAATTAAACCAATGGCAAACTACAACAAGCTGCAAAACCATCTGGAAAAACATCAACTTTGATGTATTTTATTGGGATTTTATACAATAGACCAACACAAAATGGTGCATAACTGTGAACTGGAAAGTAAGGGGATTTTAAAATATCCAAAAAGTGCTTGTGAATTTAGCTCCCTGTGTCAATACTTACTGCAGAACAACATTTTTAACAATCGCAGCAGCAGGTTTTCACAACAGATTAGAACTTTGCCCATCCTCTTTCATAATTTATTGGGAAGTCTTATATTTTCCAGACCTCAGATTATTAACTGGATTTAAAGCTGGGCTTTGATTGGCCCATGCCAAGACATGATAATGATTTGATCAAAAAAAAAATAATCCTATTGTAGCTCCAGTTTTATGTTTAGGGTTCTTGTTAAGCTGGGAAGTAAACCTCTGTCCTGTTCTCAGGTCTTTTGTAGAATCTAACAGGTTATCTTTCGACATTGCCCTCAATTAATTTTCTATAAACTATCATAATTACACTGAACATAAAGTACTATTTTCTGGGTGTTGCTAAGTAAATATCAACCCACAACATGATACTGTCACCACTATGTTTCACTGTGAAGACAGTGGATTTAAGATGATGTAAAGATTATACACTATATACCTTCTTACAACATGTTTGCTCTGCTCCTAACATGCTTTGTAATAAACTGAACAACTTATTGCTTTCTTTCATTCTTCTTATTCCGCTTGAACTCAAGAACTCTGAGCTCCGCTTTACATATCTAACCATATAAACCTTCACAGAGAAGCAGTTTTTAGACTGAGAATAAAATCATTTACAAGTGGACATTATTCAGAAACATTTGAAAGCAAGTGGTTGCCCTGGATTTTTCCTAGGAGTATCGGGGTAAATGAGGATTAATATAAATGAATGACAAACTTCTGTTTCCTTTTTCTGCAAATCCATGTTTTCAGATCATACCACTTTATAATCATGCACAACTTAATGTTTGTCTCTGATACAGAATTTTTATTGCTTGCACTTGCTGTTAAAACACAAGTTAAACTCTGAAATGTTAGGAATAGGTACAACACCTGGAGACAAAATAAGTTAAATTAAGTCAAAACCTAAAAAATGCCCCTCAAAAAATGTCCAGAAGCCTGGAAAAACAATGAAAAAGAAAATGGAAATATGGTCAATATCTATATTTCCGCTTTAATTTTTAATTATGTAAATTTTGGTTCTGTATAAAAAACAAATTATTAGCTCAACATTAGACAGCATATTGCGCTTGAACAAAATCCTTACTTGGATGCAGTGTTGGTACATGTTGGCCAAGTCTGTCATCTTTCAACATGTGCAGGAGTGTTGTTTTACCAGCGTTATCTAGACCCAGGAAAACCAGCTTCCCAGACTTTCTGTACAAACCTATTCAGAATCACAAAAGAAAGATATGTTATTAATTTCATGCTTCTTTAAGATAACAGATGTTACTGCACCCTGTGCAGCTCAAAACAGTAAAAATAGTTACAATTAGAGCAAGAAGCTCTCAACAAATATATAAACCCAGTGACACAATTATATTATGTTACAACCACATTTTTTTATTTTATTTAAATTTTAGGCTGACATGAAAAAGTGGGAGGAAACTTTACATTTTAAAAACCAACCCTAAAATATTAAAAATGAGCAGTGTGGATTCATAGGCTGTTCTCTTCCAACCCTTAAAAGAATCCTTTCTAAAAATAAAAAATAAATGTATTAATTAAAAGTAGTTGCTTATGCTAATTTAGAAAGAAGCTGCAGGCACAGGAGATAAATTTGTTTATAGGAAATGTATTTGTTATAAACTTCTGAATTTTGGACTGTTTGTAGGAAAAGTAGCAAAAATTGTTCAAAGGAAGCAGAAAATAAAGACCCATAGACCTTGGGTCTGCAACAGGGGGTCCATGGAGGTACTGCATGGGGGTCGCAAATGTTTTGGTTAAATAGACATTTTTTCCCCGTGCAATTTTTTCCACTAATTGAAATATCTTAAAATACACATTAACATGAATTCAACACACTGTAGTAAACAGATAAATGGAGGCAGAAGATGTCTTTCAGTCATCAAGGCACACATTCAGCGACGCACAGGAGCTCTTTCAAGCTGGGCACCTTTTAATTCACAACACCTGACCCATCAACCAGGAATCCGAATCAGACATACTTTAATAATCCCAGGGTAAAATGACTTTCTTTACATTACTCCATCTGTAATATAGTGACTATAGATCCAGTTTGATATAACATGATTTCATACAATATATATAATTAGGGAGTCCCTGCTCCATCTCGCCATCAGTTTGGGGGTCCTTGGTCTGGAAAACAGTGACAACCCCTGTCATAGACCATATTGGATAGATGAGGAAAAAGAATTCTCTGCACATCACCTTCCAAACAAGGCTCCCTAAGTGTCCAAAAAATGATGTTACAAGCATTTTGCCATAGGGATAATATTATTATTATTATTGCTTTTTTTCCCTCCAGCAGGGACAAAGAAGTAGTTGGAGTTGGTAGGAAGATTAAATTAGTTAAACACAGCACAATGCTCAATGAAAAACCTTAAAAGTGGGAGTGGGGGCCTATTGGTTAGAGCATAGAGCTTGGAATCCTGAGATTATGAGTTCGAAACCCACTTCCACATACTGCTACTCTGGGTCCCTGAGCCAGACTCTTAACCCCACACTGCTCCTGGGGTGCCACACAATGGCAGCCCACTGGGGATGGATTAAATGCTGAGAGTGAATTTTGTTGAGGTGTAACAGTGTAATGACAATAAAAAATATTTATAAAACGCTAAAGATAACAAAAGACTAAGAGCTGGAAGATCCATAGTTAGAGCATAAATTGAATAGTTTAGATGAAAACACTTCATGTGTTAAAATGATAGTCAAAGTTCAGATCACAGATGCATAAAACAATCTGAGTTTATTAAATTTTACACTGAAGGACAAAAATCTGAATAACTGATTTGTGTGCAAAGAAAATATGCACCAATCACTTCACAAAGATCAGAAAAATATTAACTCGGATTTATTTATGGATTTGCAAAACTCACAACAGTTTGGAAATTTTCATTTTTATCACCTTAAAAAGAAACCTACCAATGATTTCCTATTCCACTGTGTGCTAACTTCTTCATTGATATCACATAGAATCCAAACAAAACAAATGCATTTCGTCATGAAAAATGTAAAAATAAAACATGGAAAAAGGCATATGAGCACTTATGGCAATGTCTGTTTACTGAAAGATAAAAACTAAAGATTCTCACCCAAGAACTGTAAAACACTGCTAAGCCCTCTGTAGATCCAGTCAAATAAAAACGACATCCTGATGGATTCCGTCTGCAACAAAACAGAATATACATATAAACATTTTAATAACATTTTTGGTTGAAACCTTAAATACCTCTTCGGGCCTGTAGTGATATTAAGCGCTCTGATCAATTGGTGCATACAGGTGTGTTTATCTGGGATGTATGTGACATAACACTGTCTAACCCACACGTGTCACAAACATCGTCTAATATTTAACCTAATCAAACAATTTACTATATTTATGAATTATTCAGATTAAACCTTTAGATGCTCTTCGTTTGTTATTGGATACAAAAAAAGCGTTTTATTATCGGTAGTTGACGCAGGTTAGCGTTACTCTGTTCGCTTTTTTATGAAGGTGACGACGCTGAAAAACAAGCAACTAATTATTAGGAAATGTCAAAAGCAACAATATTTATCCATACAGCAATAGAGGTGGAAGAAATTACCGTTATGAAGCGCTCAGCTATCGATAGTGTCAGCCGTCTCCTTGGAAACGGTCTTCTTCTTCTCCTTCTTCTTCGTTTTTATCGGTAGCTTGCATCCATCGTGTGGAGCATAACTGCCATCTTCCGGATTCCATATTAATGACCTAATTCTTAAATGCTTTGACCAGTTTAAATTCTCCCCTTTTCCAAATTAATTATTCAACTGTGACGCAATGTCTACAAATGTCAGCTCCCCAGCAAAACCTAGTTCTAATCTTAAAGACTTCCTTTGAATTTCATATCTGTTGCACCGAATAAAAACTTGTACTGTTTCTGTTGTATTACAGCCACATACACTAACCAGTGAGACGTTTCCTGTCTTATAGGAGGAAATAGCCTGTTCTTATATTTTTCCCAGCATTTTATTGTCATTACACTGTCAGAGTACAGACAGAGCAACGAAATAAACTCTCTGAATTTAACCCATCCCCTTAGGAAGCACTGGGACATTAATTTATTCTATTTATTACTACCTCTTCCCTCCGATGCCTTCCTCTATTTCTTGTACTCTCAACAGTTTTGTATCCTATAAAAATGTCTTCCTTTTATCTCAGTATCCCACAACTTTTTACTTTCTTTAAACACTAAATTTTTGCCCTTAGATGTAGACAGCGTTATCTGTGTCTCAATATCTTTCTTTTTGAAAGCCTCCTTATCCACTTTATCTGCTCTTTTGTTTTCCAAAAATAACAGCATGAACAGGAATCCATATCATTAATATATTTTTGTTTTGTTCACATATTATATGGTGAATAAAGAGAATTTCATTCCCTCTACTAAAAAATCCATACAGAATGCTTTCAACGGAAGGTTTTAAAGATAGGAGGTTCATTGTGATTGAAGTGTAAGCTTTTTGCCAAAGGTTTGGATCAAAGCCAGAAAGTCCAATGTGGGTTTTATTAGAGTTGGTTTATTTGCTTAACTTTCCACTAGTTTATTCTATCAAAAGGGGTTAGAGAGTCCTGATAGGTCTGCATGTGTTGATAATATAATAAACATTACTTATTGAAAGGTTTAAACATTGAGAAATTGTTTTAAAACCGCTGCTGCATTAAACAGTTTAAAAATCTGATGTGTTTATTGTGCTCCTGTTTATTTGCTTTAAAAAATAACAACAATCTCTTAGGCCTTCCCGAAAACAGCTAGACTAATACTGAGATGGGTGGACTTTGTTCACTTATCAGATGATTTGGAAGCTAAATTTTAATGAGGGACATTTGACTGAAGGGGTCAGAATACATAATAAGACCAAACTTGTCAATGAGATAATCAGTGTATTATAGTACCAATCCTATACGCATCTTGCCAAGAACATATTTTAGTTACCACATTGGATCTTTATGATTAATTGGAGCCTGCAAACAAAATCCAGAGGCTCTTATCTTTTGCTTCCATACCCTTTTACCTTCGGTTATACTTAAAATAGAACAAAGATAAAATAATTTACAAGAATTTCAAAGAGACAAAAGATTAACATCTGACGTGGCAAAATGCATTTTGGATAAAAAAAAAAGCTTTGCAGGAATAGATGTGCACTCTTTTCCAGTACAACATCCATGTTCAAATCATTAAAACACATCAAAAGTGTAAATATGTTGCATAAAATAATAATGGTACTAAAATGAATCACCACAATACAAATTGTGCAAAGGTATAGTGATATTTTATTTGTGCATTTGTCATATTAGTTAGAAAGGCATTTTTTTTCACAAAGGGATCAAAGAAGCATGCATCTTTTCATGTTATTTTATATATATATATATATATATATATATATATATATATATATATATATATATATATATATATATATATATATATATATATATATATATATATATATATATATATATATATATATATATTTTTATTTATTTATTTTTTTTTTTTTTTATTAAGATTTTCATCGACAGATCATGAGGGAACAAAGAAGTTCACATTGAGAATAGATCATTACATTTGTTTGATTGACATATGCCGTAAGAAGGATCCTTTTTAAGTTCCTGGAATGGCTTTATGTTCTTATTTATCATAGTAGAACCATTTATCAACTGCAAAAAAAAAGACATTCAGATTAATACAGCACAAGGAATTAGCAAAGTTTTGTTGCATGAAATATGGGTATAAAAAATAGCAAACAACCACCTGAGTTTGAAATCGTTTCTCCAGATCCAAAATCACAGACCTGTATAAGAATGTTGCAAATCTTTCAGATAAAATGTGAAAAAATTTAGCTTACAGAGTCTAACAAAAATATACAGACTTAAAACAACCTTTTATTTTTTTATATTTCTGAACAAATACACGTTCATTATTATTTATTCATTTATTTGTTTCAATGGTAACACTGATCTTATGCATCTGATCATTCTAAAACGTAATGAATTCTAAAACGATGAAAAACTATATGAAATAAGAAAAATCCATGTAATATCATTACTAGTTGTACTCATGTGTTGAGTGGCCAAGCTGTAATATCTAAACTGCTTCAATCTAACACTGATTTAGTTCTCTCCATCTTGTCTTCGTATCTCACTAGCTTACCTATCCATACTGAATAGAAAAAGCATCCCCTCAGCATAATGCTACCACTACCATGTTCCACAGAGTGTTTTTGCTACTGTAGCACATTAGTTTTTCACATTATAAACACTTTTTCTGCATACACCATAACAAGTAAAGGGAATATGACAATTGGGAGAGCTTTTTTAAGGGGTAAACACTGATTTACTGGTTATTTTTCTCTACGAGTTTAATGTTAAATGAATTATACAAAGGTTAAAATGCACTTTTTATATTCTTCTAAGTAACACTTCTGTTCTAAAACAAGTAAAGCCACATAAGTGATTTTTTTTATTTTGCACTTGGGTCAATTCATAAAATATGTGTCATCTTTGATTAAAGAAGGAATCATAATAAATTTCTAAGCCAAGATATTTTAAAAGTTATATATACTTACAGACTTAACCACTGCTTCAGCCTCTGCAGCAGAGCAGCAGAAGGGACTGTGAGAGACACTGGTGTTCATGCTGTTTAAACACATTGGAGAAAGTTTCTCACATATCAGATTTAACCAAACAATAACTCCTACATGCAGATCACTGCCTAAGACTTAATAGAGCCTCAAAAACGCTTATTTGTTTAATTAAGTTAGTCTTTTTAAAACAGGAATTAATAATGATTTCATCAATGAAAGCAATCAAAAATACTCTTTAAAGCATGTGAAAATCTGAAATAAAAGCATATTGTGCACACCTTCCAAAGAGGCTTAGTTCAGAAAATAAAAACAAATATTTATAAACGAAAAAGGTTCATACCTTTAATAATATATTATATAATCTTAAACATAAGATCCAACTTCTATACTTGTCCTAAAAAAAACAAAATGTAATTCTGTTTTCTTATATTTTGTCATTGAAAACTTATTACAAACCCATTGTATCTGAGACAATAATCCTTTACCAGTCCTTACAGGAGAATTTTCGAGCACTGATTATCTCCTGATGTCATAAATTGTCATTGTTACACTAACTGCATATTTACATGCTGTGATTATATTTCAATTTTAATACAATTTAAGGAGTTTTAAAAAATTTCTGAAACTTTAAAGCATCTAATTTGGCAAAACATGAAACAGTTGGGTATACTTAGCTCATTTTAAAGCCCTTTTATTATGAATAAAAACTTACTAATGGCTTCATATTTTTTTTTCAACAAATGTAGATGGAATAACGACAGAGGTATAAAATAACTACATAGAGGGAGAACATGTGTCGAACATTAAAACATTAAAAATTTGCTATCATTAACTGCTGCAAGGAAGTTGATTTTCTAAAGGAAAATCATTGATTAAATATTGTTTAGGTTCTTGAAAAATTTACTGCAAATGAGAGTTTTTAATTAGTTTCAATCTAAATTCAATATGTCAATATCAAACCAAATGTTGGCTATTCTCTTTTTGTGAACAAGATGGTTTGTGTCATCTTCAAACAGTAGAATCTGCCGCAGTTTGGAGACAATGCTATAACATCATTCACTGCACTGAGCAACATAAACAGGAAGAGAAAAAAAGGCCACTAACCAGTTTAAGCCTCCAGCATCACTCTTTTTAGTTATCAGTGCTTTCCAAAACTCATGTGTACTTTTCACTGTTTGAATGGCAAAGTCCTGAAAAACAAAAAACAACAACAATTTTTTTCTATTCACTTACAAAGTTCCAAATAATGTCTAACATTTTCAACAAAGTGAGGAACATCTAAAAGTGCATACCCTATCTTTGAAGTCCCCATTGAAAGCAAACTGGTTCTCAGGTTTTCCATCGGGGACTTTGTATCGTCTGAACCAATCAACAGTTGCTTCCAGATATCCTGGCTTAAGTCGCCTTACGTCGTTAATATCTGCAACCCAAATCCACAACAAAAAGTATGCTGTATAAGGTGTACTACGGTAATCATCAAAGGCAGGTTGCTCCTACCGTTAAAGTCGCCTGCCTCTGGGTCCTCAGTATTGATAACGATGACCTTCCAGTCGGTTTCACCCTCATCGATCAAAGCCAGGGTTCCCAACACCTTCACTTTGATTATTTCTCCACGAGAGCAAACCTGAAAGCATCAGTCACACCTCTGTGGAGGGATGCTAAGTGTTTGATCCATAGGAGCCTCTTGAGCAGTTTGAAGTACCTTGTTTCCAATGTCACAGATATCAATGGGATCATTATCTCCGCAGCATCCTGTGTCACTATCCTTGTGGTGGGGATCTTCCCATGTCTGATTAAAAATAAGATCAAATGGTAACAGATTTAACAAATTTATTTATTCATTTTTTTTCTGTATGCAGACAGAGATTATCTTGCCTGTGGAATAGCTCCATAATTCCAGATATAACCTTTGTGGGGAAACACGTTGGCTACATAACGAAGGTTTCCCTTCTTCACATCCTGCTTTAGTGGATTAAGAGGATCCCCCGTTGCTATCTGAGAAAAATAAACATAAAGCGCCCAAAAAAACAAAGTAAAAGACTGCATTAACTGAAAAAAGGAAAGGATTTTTACAATGAGCATAATCGTGGAGTTCTGTTTTTGTTTTTCCTTTCTATAGAATTTATGCCTGGCCTGGCGTTTGGCTGTGTTTCTAACCAGGCAGTCAGAAAAGGTGCACAGTCTGCCATAACTATAAGGGTTATTATTGATGCTTATTCCAGGTGTATAAGCATTGGACCTAAAACACATGGTTCAATGCTGCTGTATTTAGTTATTTATAGATTTACTGCAGTTATCTCAAAGTAATCATAGTTTGTCTTTTCTAAGGAAAGTACTCCTTGCCCCTCTTATAAAGCTGTCTGTTTCCTGATTGCTGCCAATACTCTTGTGGTTTATCATTCTGTTAGAAAGCTCTTCTGCATTAGGGTTTCTATAAGGTGTCTCTTTCATGGTTGTATTCATTGAAAGAACAAAATGTTGTTAACTTTGAAAACTTTCTTTCTTGTTTTGTTCCATAGAAAGTACTACTAGTTTAGTAGTTAGTAGTGTGATTCTTTTATATAAGCCCCTCAGAAAGCTGTTTTTGTTTTCTGTTTTTCCATTGCATTTAACTGCAGTGCATTAAAATTACAACCAAATCGGAGTATAGCTAATTGGATCAGAATCTTTGCATAGATGCTATTCACTGGATTATTTCACACTAAATAGGACTAAACTGTATTCTATAAATAAGGAGTATTAAGACTAGATTGTTTTTTAAAGTGGCTTGAGGTTAAATTTGCTCTTAATAAAGAAAAAAAAAAAAACTAAATAACTGGTTAAAGTGTAAAAACAAAAATGTACCTCCATCTTTGCATTTGTCCATCTTGGAACTTCTACAATGGCATGAAAAATGTTCTGCGGAGAGATGTGAAAACACTTTTCGTTAAACAAATGGTTCATTCTCTAAGCTCTTTTGTTGATTGAAAAATATATCAGATTAAAATCTAAAACAAGGACTACCTGCAGGGGTAAATTAAGCAGAAAATATCACTTGAAAAGGGGGATAAACTACATAGGACATAAAAACAATGTTTAAAAAAGCAGTTGGTTCCATATAATTAGCCCTTTTGAATTAATTCCTGTTCTACTTATTTGTTTTTTCCCCCCAAAAAAACCCTGATTCAGTATTGAAATATAGTTCAGTCAGCAGTAACTAAAATTCCTAAGAGCTAAAGTCGAAAGAGAACTAATCCAAACATTTCTTTATTATAGATGGTTCATGTTTTCAAACCGTTAAACTACTCACCTCTGCTTCGTTTGCATAGATGGGCACATCATGAAAGGGAGAGATGTATTTACCATCTGAGTTCTCTGGGAAAGGAGCAGAAATTTTTTTAATTTTAGCTTTAAAGAAAAAAGCCCTGGTTCATCTTTCCACAACAATCTGTATTTCACCTAAAGAAACAGTTATAAAACAGGTATAAAACTACAGTTTATAAAACTACAGTAAGTTTAAAGAGATTCAGAGTAAACGCTTAGCTTACTGAAGAAAACTCTGTAGTCCTGGGTGTTTGGCCTGCCCCTCTCTTCAATGGAAAAGCTCATGTTGGTTTAAATCTCTCTCCCTGTGCCTTTCCACTTGTTCAACAAGATTAAGCTGCTTCTACAGTAACTCTCAGGCAAAACCAGGCGAGTGGACATGCGCATTGATTGGTAATACCCACAACTACCCGTATAAGAGAGAGAGCTGCTGTGTGACATGTTCAGAAAGCAAACATGTGAACATGTTAAACTCATCTTTTTCTGTCTGCCCCAGTCCCCCATTATGCAGCTACCGTCTTACTGTGTGAATCAGAGATGTGAATTATACTCAGAGGCTAATCCTGCTAAAGCAGACACGTGCATTCTGAATTATTAATGCAAAGATTCTACCTTCATTTGTCATGCTTTTCCTCTCTTTCAAGCTGTGACTATTAACAACTATTTACAGAAACACACAGATGGACCTGACTGGTGTAAGCTGTAAACCGATTAACAAGACGGTAACATGTGCTGTTACCACGGTGACCTCTTACCTTTCAAGTTTTAGTGAAACATCTTCATGGGGTAACAAAGAAAATTATATATATTATGTATATAAATATATTTATATACATTTATACAGATAGTCTGCTCATTGGTGAATTAAATTAGGAAAATTTTAAAGAAAAGGACCTGGTAAACAAACCTTTTTTAATATATAGAAAGAGAACCCTTTGCAGTTATTGCCAGTCCTGCTAAAGATATATCACTCATCACAATTTCTATTCTAGTAAGATGACCTTTGACCCCAAGATCTGTTTTCAGTTGATTTCCTTTCTAAAGCGATAACATGAATACAATCTTCATTCATATATTGCATATTTAACCCACAAGAACAACTGAAATAGAAGGAAGTTAGTTATAGTTACATAATAAGTAGCAGCGCTCCAAGTACAAATGGAGAATAAGGTCTTACTTAATATATACACAAATATATGAAAAAAATGAATGTATTTCAGAAGGTTTGGTTTATTTTAATACTTTAAAAGTAATAAATAAAAAAGACACGTTTTTATACATTTGAGAATCCCTGTGAAACAGAAAACTGACACTACCCCTCAAAAGGCCAAAACTAATCTTTCTGCATGCGTCTTTTTTTCCCCAACACACTCCTTCCTAGCATTTTAAAGCCCTCAAATTCATTCCACTTAAGTAGTTAAAGGTACACAGCATACAGGGTGTAAAAATGTAATATAGTCCATCACTCTGTCGTTATCAAGATTTCAAAGTTGTATGGAGATTGAAGAGCAGACTGAGTGTTGGAGCTCAGAGGGTTGGACTTTATGTTGAGCCATTTCAGAGCTGGCATGGCACACAACTTCTCCAAAGGCAATTCTGTTGGAAAAATTTCACCAAGAAGAGGTTTAAAACAAACAATACTACAAAGAAACAAAGTTTTTTTTTATGTTTAAACATGTTATTACCAGTGATGCTATTTCCTTCTAGATCAATCCTCTCAAGTGTGGCTATTTCAGTGAGCTTCTCAGGGAAAAATGAGAAGCTATTATTAGCTAGATTGATGCTCGTTATATGCTCCATTTCCCCGACCTTGTCTGGCAGCTTGGTAAGAACGTTGTCTTGCAAGTCAAGTTCTGTAAGACAAGTCAAATACAATTAAATTGTGAAATCTTTCAGTGCAGATCTGTTTTATTTGCCAGAGAATTTCTGGAACAAACATACGGTGGCCAAGAGGTGCAAATGCAACGTGCACACCTGAGTTTACAATAAATCCAATAGCCCATGCAATCAAAAAATTTAGAGTAGAAAATACAATGTTTAAGACCAACAATCACAAAATACATGCAAAACCTAAATGCATCAAGTGGCAACAACTGCAAGTTAAGAAAAGTTGCAAACTATGCCAATGACTGTCTCCCCCTTGTGGTGTGAAGCACTTTCCTCAACTTGTACTTATTTTTGCTGCTTGTATAAATTTTCCGTTGCATCTTGTGTGTGTTAGCATTATTAAAGCATTTACAGTGGGTTTTCGTGTTTGCAGCAGGCTTTCACTTTGCTTCTCTATTTTCTCTTTTGCAGAATTTTTCTTTGCATGTGTTTTTTGTGTTTGTCTTAGTATTTTGTCTGTGTTTGCTAGTCTAAATCGTGCACTGACACAAGGTTTGCACCCCTCCGCCACCGTATGAACAGTTTAAGAAAAAAAAGTATAAAAAAAGTATAATCAATTATACTGAATTCATGATTCAAATTATACCGTGGTGTTTTATTCATCCTTACCTCTGAGCTGTGTAAAAGCTGAAAAAAAATTGCTTGAGATGGCCTTCAATTTATTGTTAGCCAAGGTTATAATGTAGATGTTTTCTAAGACAGTCGCCAGGACCTTGAACACACCATCTGGGAAGGAAATGAGCTGGCAGTTGGATAGATCTGCAGTAAAGGGTAACGATGCATAAGATTATCCAGTATCAACACAGGAATTAAATATTGTACGCCAAAAAGCATAAACACTGTAGGATCTACAGATAGTTTAGCACTTTATTCAAGCCTCTGCCTCCATCTACTGGCAACACTTGGAATAGCTACAAGAACATACACTTGATTTCAGATAGAAAAGGTGGAAAGAACAAATAAAAAGAATATATAAGGATGCCTCACCCAGGGTATCTTTGCCTTCCTCTACTGTTGCATTAACCCTTCGGGCCACATTTGCCACTGCTTCAGCCATCGTTCTGCTGTAACCATTCAAACAGACAGGTGTTAAACAGAAGCAACATCATTTATAATCATCAATATTAATACAAATACATAAACATACCGCACATAAGGGGCATATTTTTTTAAGAACCACCTACAACCTGTGTGAAGATTTCTGAAGCAAATTTATTTATTTTTATTTATTTCAGACATACAAGTATATAATAAACACAGTATATGTCCATATAACATACATTAAAAAAGTCAGAAAAATTGGCAGAAGCAAGAAGCTTATAATGCCTCCAAAGCCAATTTACATTGGACTAGAGAGCAAAAGAAAAAAAGATAAAAAGATGGCTACCATTTATAATACATACCAACGTATGATTTTAGAAAAATGTATTATTCTACAATAATATTTCAGGAAAAAAAAAGAAAAAAAAGGTAACGCACCAAATATCTGCTCTTAATTGCATTCACATGTTTCATAATTTTCTATCGTATTATTCTTGTTGTACAATCTTTTAGCTCCTGATCTAATTTGTTCCATACATCAACCCCAACAAAAGAAAAGCAATGTTGTTTTACATTTGTTCTTGCTTTTGGTTTTCTGAACATTTTATACCCTCTGAGATCATAAGCACCATCCCTGATCAAAAACAGACCCTGAATATGTACTGGCAACAAATTATTTTTTACTTTGTACATAAACTGAGCGGTCTTGAAGTCAAACAAATCTTTAAATTTTGATATTTTTAAATGTACAAAAAGTTGGTTTGTATGCTCTCTATAATCTGCTTTATTTACAATACGAATAGCTCTCTTTTGAATTGTGAACAATGGGTTTAAATTAGTTTTATATGATTCCACACTTCAATACAGTACATCAGGTAAAGCAAAACTTGCCAATGTTTTAGATATCTTTGATCTGATATAATCAATGTGTTTTCCAACCTAACTTATTTTGTATTGTTACCCCAAGAAATTTTACACCACTTACTCTTTCGATATCTGTCTCATTTATTTTCAATTTTGTGTGCACATTAATAGCACGATTTGTTAATATTATACATTTTGATTTCTTTAAATTTAAGGTTAATTTGTTTGAATCTTACCAACACTTTAATATATTTAATAATAATAATTGTCTCCAATAAGGTTTTTAAATCTTTACCAGAACTAAGGATATTAGTATCATCTGCAAATGATGTAAAATGTAATATTTTTTAGACTTAACATAGATATTAAAGGAGTCAACATATGACTTGATGTTGATGCTAAGCAGGTTTGAGAAGAAAATATGGGTCAAGCATATAAAAATGTCTGTTTTAATGTTTTTGTTTATTATTATTATTTTAGGTCAACTTTACTATTAGTTCTCAGCTTTGAATTGAAACTGCATAGCTATCTGTTAATCATTCTGCAGTGCTTGTTTCTTTTAAATCAACCTAACTGCAGAATAAACATGATAAGACCACCTGAGCAGAAGTTATCACTTTTGGTCATAAAATCTGGACAGGCGACACAAATTTCGCCTTTTTGTTGTAAAATCCAACAAAACGAATCACGTCAATAATTTACCTGCTCGTTCAAAAAGTTTTGAATTCAATCTACTCAGTTAAATAAATAAATTACTCCATACAACTTTAAAGAAAAGGAAAGTTCTTACCCAACAACGAGGCAGTTTGTGTAACATAATCTGTAAGCTGTCGCTAGTGGCTAACATTAGCTCTAGTCCACTTCCAGGTTTATTTTTAGCTCAATGAGATAAACCAGTTTACATGAATTAAACAATATTTATAACCCAATCAAGCCTTTTAATATATATATTGTAATATTTTTAAGTTTAGGCATAAACCAGGAAATTGAGCAGCTAAGTTGTAAGCTAGGCTAACAGCTAATTAGCAAAGAGGTTCATGAGCGTCAATGTTGCGTTGTTTTTTTTGTTTTTTTTACAGTCATAACCAAAGTCAAATAATTTACAAGCATTTTAACATATATATTTTGATATTATTAAGTTTAGGCATAAACCAGGAAATTGAGCAGCTAAGTTGTAAGCTAGGCTAACAGCTAATTAGCAAAGGTGTTCATGAGCGTCAGTGTTGCGCATTCATTTTACAGTCATAGCCAAAGTCAAGTCATTCATGGAATAATCTATTTTAGACGGCAATTGTCAACTATTATTTTCATAATAAATAACACTTCATACTGGATTGAAGTGATTCAAGTTTATTCTTTAACTTAAAACAGACAAAAAAATCTGTGTAGCCTGTTTTCAACAGATTTAATTTTATTTTTTTCAAAGGCTTTTGTTTTTTTTATTTATATATATATACTTATAAAAGCATGTTAGAACTGTAAATATACAGTGATATGATTATATTACTTTTTAAAATGTATTTATTACTGTTTTCAAGGCTGCACTTTGAAATATGAAATTGCCTAGAGCTGTTCTAAACTAAATTTCTTTTTGTTTACACTCATGTATACAAAATGACAAAATAAATCTGTCTGAGTCTAAGTCTCTAAGTCTTTGTTTTAGCTAATAGCTCCAGTGCTAACAGTGCTTACAAATGCAATATTAATTTAGTTATCATTTCAACTTTCGACTTTTTAGTTATATGTTAAATATTGACTTACCCTTTGAGTCCAGGCCAACTACTCCCAGTTTAACACCTACAGGCTACTGTGATCATTATTCTAGGAAATTCCCTGTCACTGCTTTTTCTGTCCAAACAATCTGACTACAATGACTGCCCTGGCTCTAAAATAATAGATTTTTAGTTTGGCATTGTTACAGCAAACTGCCAGTTTGCAGGACTGCCAGATACTTCTTCATACAAATAAATAAACAATGGTTTATGTTTCATGGTGCTGGAATATACTCACTTTGAGTCTGTTTGAAGCTCTCTAAAACTAGAGCCATCCAATGAAGAGTCAACTAAAGCGAGAATGGACATACTGATGCATTCATAAACATAATCAGAAGCCTAATTTATCATCAAATTATTAACTCTATTCAGATGCATATGTTTTTATAGATCAATTGCAAAATGATGAATATACTATGTTTCAATACCAGGATTTACTTTTCTTGCCAAGATTGTGTTTACTTTGTAAGCAAGAAGAATTGTTTCACGGTTTGTGTAACTCTAGAACATATGACTCCTGGTGGAGAAGTTTCTACGGAAGAGGATTAGGGCCACTGAAAAATTAAAAAAAGTTATTTTAAAATTTTATTTCAGTTTAATGTGGGGGAGAAGTTAGAATTCTGAGATTAAAGTCGGAATTCTGAGAAAAAAAGTCTTAATTCTGAGATTAAAGTCAGAATTTTAAGAAAAAAAAGTCAGAATTCTGAAACTAAAGTCATAATTCTGAGAAAAAAAGTCAGAATTCTGAGATTATATTCAGAATTAAGACTTTTTGTCATTAAAACTTACATCAAATTTAAAAATCAGTTGACTTTTTTTTTTTCAGTGGCCCTAATCCTCTTCCGTAGTTTGCAGTTCAGTAGAGATGTTTGGAGTAATTTTGGGGTTAGTCCAAGAATGCCACTATTATCAAATATGGAAAATAACAATACACGTTACATAAATCTATAACTATATGGTTGAATAGGTACAAATATTCATGCTTGAATACAGCACTCTGTGAACAGCCATGAGATTTAGAAGCATCTAACATCATTAAATGTAAAGTTTATATACATTTTATTAACATAAACAAATGCTTTTAAAAAAATCTGTTTCATGAATCTATATGTAAGCTCCACTTTTTAAAATTAATTATTATTCAAAGCCTCAAATCAGCGATGAGCCTGCTGCATTATGCTTCAATCAGTTTCATGAGGTTTTCATGATCTTCTATCCTTCAGCAAGGTGACAAACTGGCCTTGATTTTATATAATTTTTTCACAATCTAGTCCCCTGGGGCTGGGTTTGTATTTTATGCTTTTTGGTAAAATAATAAAACAATTTTTTTAGTTTTTTTATATAGATAAAAGAAAATAGGTTAAAAAAAAACAATCATACATTTTTTTTGGACCAAAAAAAGTAGTATAAAACTCAGTTACAACAAAACTTCATGTCACTATATTTAACAAGGCCCTATGATAAAACCTATGCAAAATACAACATGAACATAAATAGTTTTTAATATTTACATTAAATATACATTAATTGACAGTAACAGTATAGTGTACAATACAAACAGTGCACAAATATTTAATGACGTCATTTCATGTTTACATTGAACACATTGATAAGATAAAAATAGCCTGTACTGGATTGTAGCCATAAACTACAACACTTGGGGTATGATTTAATCAGTTCTTTAAAAAAAAAAAAGTCCTTCTTAATAACCAGAGCCCACGTCATGATTTAAGATCATGATTCCCATCATGGATAAGATGCAGTCTTTACAGTGCACAATCACTAATATCAAAGAGCTTTTTTCCTCTTAAAGGCTAAGTGTTTTTCTTTTCATTCTGCAGGAATCACTTTGCTTTTGTACAGCATGTGCTTTCCTGCCACTCTGCGAAACAGTCAACTCTTTGGTTGTGGTGTTCACTGACAGCCACACTCATCCACTATCATGTCTTCGTGGTGTCGAAGAAGCATTTCTCCATTCTCGTAGTATAGCATGCTCAGCGCGCTCATTTTGGTCGGAGCGCAACATGGTGGCACCACTCGTTCAGGATGGAAATGTTTCAGGAGACTCTTAGAAAAAGACACAATAAAAGTTGGTTTAAGTTAAAGTGTCATAGATCATTTCTAAAAGCAACATTTCATTTACTTGAACGATTTTATTAGCAACAAATCCTAGTTAAATCTAAATAGTATTCAATCAGAAGCCAAAATCACATCAATCAAGCTTTGTACAAGTATTCAACCTTTGACTAGTTTTCCAGTTGTTCAGACTAGAAAAACAAACTTCAGCATATACTACTATAATGCCACCAGCATGGTCAAACATGGTGGTGGCAGCATCATGCTATGAAAATTCTAGTCTTCAAGAACATGGTAATCTTAAACAAAATCTTTTACAGTCTGCAAAGGTCTTTAACCTGAGATTGATTATATAAAAAAGTAAAAGCTATTAAAATGAAAAGGCTTAAAATTTACTCTCCAAATGTGCAAAGCTGAAAGATCCATAGCCCCAAAAGTTTTACAGCTATTGTCACAGCTCTAGATGAATCTTGAGTCTATACCTGGAGGGGCTAAATATTTATAGGCATATTAAACATTTGGCATTTGAAATTGTTGAAAAAAATGCTGCTAAGTTCATTTTATGATGTATGTACATAATCAGTGGACATTTCCGATGTTTTTTGACTAATCTTGTAGGTTTACTGTACTTACAGTTAAAAAAAAAACAAAGTGATAGGATGGGTTAAAAACTGCACCTCTTTTAATTATCTTATTGTAATAACTTGTCTCATTTTCAACTATTTTGCTGCCTTTACATCATTTTAGGTTTACTTTAAATGTAATATTATAAGAAGCACCTGTCTAGCCTTCAGATTGAGGACCGTTTTTCCGATTTCACCATCACAATGAGGAACAGTTTTTGTAAAGTGGGCATTTTGCTGGTCCTCACAAGCTATTTTACTAATGGTTAGGTTTAGGGCTAAGGTGTCAATTGGGTTAAGGTTAGGGTGAGATATATATTGCTAATGGTTAGGTTTAGGGTTATGGCATAGAAAGGGTTGAAAATGACTGAAAATCAATGGAAGGCAAAGGGAGTCACCATGTCATGGTCCTCACTACATATAGCAGAACAAACATGGGTGTGTGTGTGTGAGGGGGGGGGAGGGGAGTTGGGGGGGGGGGGGTCTTGCTGGTGTTTATCTCTATCTACAATGCGTCAGTGATTAATTGCGATCACTTTTTCAGAGATAAGTTGGTGAAACCAGCTAACAAAAGAACCAATAACTGAGCAAAACCAACCTTTCTTATCCAATTTAATGCTTAAAGCAAACAGAAACTAATAGATAACAGATTGAGTGTGCTATTTACCTGCATATAAGCGTGATTAGTTGGATTCAGACCTTCTCCCAGAGGACCAGGGCAAGAACCTTCACATCGGTAGGCGTTATATCTTTTGGGAAAGACGATCCAAGAGCCCCAGCCAATTTGATTGAAATCGACGTGCAGGTCCACTCTGCGGCAGAGGGACTTTTCGCCCCCTTTCATGGGAAACTGTGGGTTTCTCGCAGTTTGATCCCTCTGGCCCCGTTTGCTCCTACGCCTCTTCGGCCGGGGGACCCTTTTAATTTCAGCAGGCGACAAGAACTTGGATTGCTCAGCTGTATGCAGCAGGCTCGCTTTAGCTCTTGAGCTTTCATCAGACCCCGTTTGGGAGAAGATCACCAGTAAGGCCTGACCACCTGTCTCAAACACAGGTGGAATAGAGAGGCTCCTCTTCTTCCCAATTCCTTTCTTACGCCTTGATATTCTTTTGGTTCGGCTTTTTGCAGCCGATTTCTGCCTGAGCCACCCTAGGAGGGGGCTTGTCATGTTGAACACCTTCCAGCTGTGTGACGAAGTTACCAGTGATGACATGTTGAGCAGTCCTACTGGCTCATGATGCAGGTGATACACCTCCACTGAGGCATTGAGAGGATTATGTGTTGGAGGAAGTCTGATCCTCAGCTCTGCAGCCTGGATGTGCTTATCAGTCAGCAACACGTGTAGGTCAAAGGTCACCACCCAACGGCCATGTCTGTAGGTCAAACCTGAAAAAAATAAAAAAGACCACTGGGTACTATGGGTTCACAATATTAAATCATTCTAGTTATCTTCTAAAGGGAATTAAAAATGTTCTTCTTCCCACTCTTTTTAAACAAATACTTTACTATTTCAGTAATATCTTTATCCTTTTGTTTCTCCTAATTTTTTATTATTTCTGTATGTTCAAATAGAACTTTAAAATATAATAAATGCTTTCATTTTTATTATTATTGTTAAAAGTAATGTAGTAATGCTATACCAAGACCCAATGTTCCCAAAAATTGCCCATCGTTCATAATCAAGATAACAAAATAAGAGAACTAAATAAGAAAAGGATCAATGAGATTTATTAGTAGGAAACACCAAAGAAAGTCTATAACTGTTTAAGCAAAAATAATCTGTGGATTGAAAAAAAGAAACAATTTATTGTGCAGCATCAAGCGAACTATTTAAAAAAAATCACAGTAAAAATGAATAATAAGAAAATAGCTATAAAAGGCCAGTAGCAGTATATTTCTTCACAAAACCGGAATGAAACATAATCAATAACACATTACTACGTAAGTGGCGAACTTGAATAGATATTAAACATTTATGGTGCATTTATTATTTTTTTCACCGGTAGTCAGGCTGTTACTATTTTAAGAGGTCGAGAAATTTTTTTTTTGAGGTTAGAGTCAGTGAGAAACTTTGAAACCACATGGAATGTTTAGCTTAGGGTACAGGTATATTTTTTAAATATTCAAATTTTTTGTAAATGGAGAGCCTCAAGATAACACTGATGAATAAGATGGAAAACAACAAAACACTGGAAAGGTCTAAACTATAATAAACTACTGATTTACAATGTCTGCCAGTTTGATGGTACTTTTGCTGAGATTGTATAAAAGGTTTGAAAACCACTCAGTCATTCAGGCAGCAGGGTTTGTTTTTTTTTTATACCAGTTCTTCAGTTTATCTATACATTCATGCTCATGAGATTTTTGCCCAACACTTGATGAATATTTTCATATATATGATTATATTAAACAACAAAGTCACCACTAAAAGGATTTTTTACAACGATATGGAATCTTCAGCTAAAACCTGCCTGATCTATATATGCTCTAGTCAATGAAGCACATACTTTGCTTGCAGAAGATGAGGTAAGGAAAATAAAACTGCCTGTCTGTTTTACTGATGCTTTTTTTGTTTAATCCCCTTCTGCTCAAACCCCCGGTTTGTCATAGCAGATGGCTGTTTAAAGCCTTGTTTTGCTGGAACTTTTTTCAAAATAAAGTTCTTCATACTTTAAAGTCAATCACATTACAAGTTACTGTCCAACATGGCCTTGTTCATCCATGAAGGGGTGAATTGTGCATGTCTAGCTTAATAAAATCTGTTGGACAAAAAACTTTTTAACCAATGGATGATTGTGTTATACAAATTAACTTATTTTACTTCAATTCAGGGAGGGTTTAAAATATGAGATGAAACGCTAACATAATTTAAACTGCTCCTCATACAATTCTGAGACAAAACAAAAGAACAAATTGATCATTATAAAATATTTTGAATTCCTTTTATCATATATTGTAATAATAATATAGATAAACAGATATATTAATATGAAACAGCCATAATAACACCATGAAATAATACCAACACATTGTTTAATCTCATTTTGATTCAGCTTTAGCGTTTAGTTTTTCACTAAATAAAAAAAAATGGTCACGGCAGCATTATACTCAACGTGTGCCCTATTTCAGACCAATCATAAGCTTTATTAAAAGCCAAATAAGTTATAGATAGTTTCAAATATTAGTTATTTTTAATTGAAAACAATCAGTTTTTTCTAGTAAGCTGAAGATAATGAAAGATTATATTTTATGGCATTGAAGCGAGTTTAAACAGACACAACAAAAGATAAAAGATGAAAACCAGAGTCCAGAATTCATTTAACATTGCCCAATCTGTTGTTCCAGCTGAAAGGCTTACTGGACAGATGTTTTCACATTGTAGAGGCAACAGATAGATTTTTAATATTGTTGCAAATTAACATAGGTATTATTTTCAAATAAAGATGTGGGGTACTGACAGACCGCAACCAAAGAAGACTGAATGCTGAAACTGAGTCAAAATTTTTAAAGAACAAGTATGAGTTTGAGACTTTGCACGGTTATGATGACAGGTCATTGTATCTTTTTTTTTCTTTCTTTTTTTCTTCCTGTTTCTTCCTTATATGTTTTACATTTAAATCCAAGGGTAGATACCACCTTCTTTATGGAAAAAATATTTTTAAAATGATTTATTATGGCTTACACTCACATAAATATTTCCCCCAAATTCTGGGATTTATGTAATTTTATTAGATTTAAAAAAATCTATTTTCCTTTTTTTTCCCCCAACACAAACCTAGCAAATAAACCAAACATAATGCATATTCATTAATTTAATATAGCTAATTTATTTAAAATACATAATTTAATATAAAGTATACTTACTCAAATTTTATATTAATGAGTGTATTTATTTTAAATTCATAAAGTGAATTGTTTAAATTGCATAAAAATCAGGTTACCTTTAACAAATGTAATAAATTAATGAAATAAATACATGCTTTAGTATTATTATTAATACTTAATCTGGTTATTATAATTAAAAATAAGCTTTATTATAAAAATAATTATGTATCATGTTTATTCAGTAGGTTTGTGCTATAGTTATTACAAAAAGGAAGTGGAAATGTGTGATGTAATAAAATACACAAATCTTAAAAGTGAAATATTGACATGATTGTATTTTTTGACAAAAATGTATCATTTTAAAAGTTTTCACTTTTGAAAAAAATCCTTTTCCATCTAATTATTTGTATTCTAAAACAATATTTATTTATTTATTTTTTTTTACTGGATTCTGAGGAGAGAGAAAAAAAAAACAATTAACAAAACATACAACCCCCAGAAAAAGTTTTGCCAAGGATTTATTTCTATATCTCTAATTCACTAATTAATAGTTGCATGCTATTATATTTCTGAATGAATTCCAACAAATCTATGAGATAATATATAATACATTAAATCTGAACCTGAAATATGTCCTATAATAAAGCTCACCCACTAATGAGAATCATTATGATTTAAAAAACATCTGTGATTATAAGATTGAAGCCCATTTAAAATTTGCTTTGTTATTTGCAATGCTCTCCATTGAATGTGATTGTTGATCAACAGTCCAATCCATGCCCACTATTAATCCACTCAAACCAAACGATCAGCCGAAACCAATCATTTAACACGTCCCTGCTGGTCCTGATGCTTCTTGCATATCCTCAGTAGAACAAATATAGTAGAGCTGTGAAATTGGATTCAGCAGCTGGGCTTCTAGTGCCACACCATTAAATCCTGAGCTCTAATCTAATCAGCCCAAGTGTGAAAAAAGAACTGAGGGAAGTTGTTGATTTGACCTTAAAAAGAGATTTGTATAGGGGGATGTCTGGCGAGGTACCAAATCAACATCATTTATTTGAAGAAGAAGGAGAAAAAAAGGGGTTTGCTTGAAGAATTAGAAAGAAAACCGGCCTTTTCACACGCTGACCCTTGCTTGGTTATTGGCCCCCTGAGCGAGGATGTGGATTGAAGCCTCTGAGGTCGTCTGGCAGGAGAAAATGACTAACATCTTTAAGTGCCAAAGGAGGGTAGACCAAATTAAATGCATTTTGACCTATTTGTTTAGAATATCTAAATATAAAACCTCCATCTCAACCCGAATCAAAGTAATAAACTTACTTTTGGCCATCATGCTCTTTACTGTATCCGCGCGCTTCGCTGCGTCCTGCTCCATGTTATCCAGGGGCCCGGAGAAGTTGGACCTGAAGTTCCTGTAAAGATGCATCATATAGGTAGGCAGGTGGTATCCCGTAGATCGCTCCGTCAGGGAGAAGCGGTGTAGAGACCTCATGATGAGCCCATCTCTGGATTTATGGATCCCCTGCGCCAGCAGCACCAGCAGTGATGCGTGCAGCGCGACGCCCAGGACTCCCAATGAGCGCATTGCTGTCAGTCTGTCGGCAGCAAGAGAAATTCCTGCACACAGCAGATTAGGGGTGTCTTATATACTGTCACCCACCCACTTTCATGTTTAACAAGTTGCTGAGAACATTAAAGGATATTGACATGCGTCCTCAAGACTTGTTACCTGACAGCTCATCAGCCATTCAGTTGGTAATGAGGCGGCTAGGGTGCGAGGTGGTTTTGTTTGTCTCAGGGCTCTTCAGTCTGACTCCCAATCCTTGGATTTTGGGCTATTTAGTGTGGAGTGTTGATATTGGACATCACCCAGAAGGGCCCATCCATCCAGAGAAACATGGTGGTGGTGGCATCATGCTGGTTGGATTCTTAACAGCAGCGACATGGACAATGGAAATATGGGAATATGAAAGGAGTTTTAAGCGTGGGTGGGGTTAGTTGAAGAAAACCTGTTCCAGGCTATAAAATAGGGTGTAGGTTTAGCCTTCAGCAACCTGACTTCCCAACCATGATTTATTTTTAAACTATCTTGCCTTTACTTTGCATTATATTAATGGATCTATGGATGGATGGATGGATTAAAAAAGTTTGTGCATCCCAGTTCAACCGCCATAATGCATCATGTCAGAACTCCTGCCACTTTAAATTTGACACATGCCTAACTTATCCAATAAACAAATCTGTAAGGAGAGGGAATGTAAAAAACAAAATAAAGAAAACAGAAAAGGCTGTATTCATGTACCTGTTCCTTAATCAATTTAATTTTCCTTGATGCACACTCATACATATATTATAGTGCGGGGTTCACCAATCTTTTTATGGCTTAGAACTTCTTCATGGGTGCTGCATCATAGGAAGGGCTACCAGTACTGACCTATGAACTGGAGATGTCAGCAATTACTTGATGCATAATAAACATATATTTAATGTTTCTTTTAATTTCCACTTTTCTTTTGGATATTTTTATTTTGAAATCTCAAATAAATGCAGTTGTGATTAGAAATATAAGGTCAACAGAAAATAAAATACAGAAAAAAAACATTTCAAACTTAGCCCTGGTGAGTTGTGCAGTTTTTAGAAGAGTCTGGGGGCACCCCATGTGATCCTTTAGGGCCCCTTGTCACCCGTGGGCACCGTGCTTGTGACCCCTATTATAGTGAATCTAATGGATTGTACATAAAGTCGAGCTATCCTAAAACTATTCTGACATTCAACGTTTGTATAATTTTACTAATGCTGTAGTTTGCATAGAGGTTACGAATGATCAAAAATAAGAGCATTATATACTGTATAAACTACATAAAGTGTTATTCATAAAACAATTTCAAAACAACACTATCAACCAAACTGCTGTATTGATAAAAACTGATAAATACAAAAGTACACTTAGTACTAGCAGGCACGAATACACAAAATCAGTGATCATCTCATAAAACAACATAGCAATAAAATGGAATCGTATAAATAGTTTTAAAATAGCACAGTAAATACATCTGTAATTAGACTTGTTGTCTTCTGGTGATCCATGCCAGGTCGTGGGGGCTGCAGTCTCAGCAGACTGCCAGACTTCCCTTTTCCCCAGACACCTCCTTAAGCACCTCTAGGGAATGCTAGAGGTGTTCCAGGGCTGTTCCCTCCAACATGTCCTGGGCTTTTCACTGGGTCTAGAGGCACCTCATCTACCCTGTGGAGGAAGCTACTTTCTTCCGCCTGTATACAAAATCTCCTTCTTTCTGTCATGACCAAGATGTCCTTTTGCCTTTTTTCCTCAGCTCCCTTCTGTCAGCATTGTAGCGGGAGCCAATATATTAAATAATTGATACCGTTAAATCTAGCGTAGCGACAAGATGGAAACTGGTGTAACACTGAAAGACCTGCAGGAAAGTTTGGTGCAAACCGATTGTGCTCAGCTACTGACAACAATTCAGCAAATTCTTGATCTGCCTGGTCTAAGAAAATTTGACAGGCCTGACTAAAATTTTGAATAACCTTAAATAAGTACAGTGTGGCCTTATGATAAAACAAAACAAAACATGGCCAGGTTTCTGCTAAATAAAACCATACTGTTTTATTTCCAGCAGACTGTCCCAGTACAGAGCAACGAAATGAACATTCTGCATTTAACCTTAGGGAGCAGTGGGATGCCATTGTGCGGTGCCCGGGGAGCAGTGTATTTGCTCAGGGACCCAGAGTGGCAGTCGATGGGAGTGGCTCAAACTCAGAACCTCAGGATTCCAAGCTCAATGCCCTAACCACTAGGCCACCATTGTTTTTTTTAGCATCACTGTGATTCCAGGATCCAGATAAATACAAGAGAAGGGCTTCAATGAGAGGTCTAGCAGGAGTTCAGTAGTGAAATCCACAGAGAATCCCTTGACAGAGGTCCCTTGAAGGAGGACAGCTGATATTAGACTTGTCCTCAAGCTCTATTCAATTTGAGAGAACATTTGCAAAGCAGATTGAGCAAATATTGACAAGTCAAATGTGGGAGGCTGACAGACTGAATCTTGAAATTAAGTCAAAAGGTTTTTCAACAGGGTACTAGTTTACAGGTCCAACTTTAAGCAACTGCATTGCTGAAGCTTTTACTTTTCTAAGAACAGTCACACTAAAAATATGACATCTTTAAAGCGGAATAAAGGTTTTGAAATCATTTCTCATGGTATCATCTTTACAACCAGGGACCGATCTATCTTATGGAAATTCAAAAACATGGCATACATGCAAACCTGAGGTGCTGTAGTTGCATTAGACAAAAAGTGAACATTATGGATAAAATAACACTATATGCAAATTATATGCACATTAATAAACAATTGACATGCAGTGTAACATGATAAGGATTATGCCATGCTATGAGGAAGCTGGTTAGTGCATAAAGGAAGCTGGATGGAGCTGCAGTTTGGAAGGAAATTTGTTAAAGAGTGCAAGATATTTGGAGAATGGAGTTTTACCCTAACTTCCCATTATCATTACTTTATCTATTTATTTTGTGCTGACATCTAGATTTTAGTGTCAAGCAGACTATTAGGATAGTATATTGGAATGGTATGCAGTCTTTTATATAATGAAACAAACAGCAAAAGTCTACTTTGTCATTCATTAAGACTGATTCATATTTTGCTGCACTAATGTAAAATTTGTGTCAGCAAAAAAAATGCTGAATAATCGGATCTATTTGATATGAAACATTTTTAGAGTGTTTTTAGTTTAAATATTTTTAATAAGATGGAATGACATAAAAGTTTCATTACTTGTAAGTATGTCTTACCTGCTGGGGGAGAGTTTATTGTTACCATTAATCAAGTCTTGATAGATTTAGCTTAAAGATATCTTTAACGGTTGGTGGAGAAATCTGACGACTAAAGTAAAGAGAAAGTATAGTCAAAGAAAAAAGTTGCAGAAAAAAAGTACTGCCAATCTGAACTAGAGAGACCCCTTGAAAAATAAATCAAATCTAATTGAATCAATTTATTATAATTTCATTAGTTAATACCTAATAGCCCGTAGCAAAATATGAAAGCCGTTTTCTTGGATATATAACATATCAGTTATAAAACCATAATTTGATCAAATATATAAAGAATTAAAGACATTTTTTGCTTGACTAAAATCTGTCCCTTTGCATTATATATAAAATACAAACTTTTTGAGAAGTACTCATTTAGAAAAAATTATTTTTTAATTCATTGATCAAATTCTATAAAGCTTTCCTGAGATCAGAATTAAACATGGAGAGGAACTGATGAAAAAGAGTAGTCCCTCATTTCCAACTTAAATAATAATTCCAAGCTATTTATTGTCTAAAACGTTTTAAGTAGCACTTAGTATAAAATCATCTTGAAGTTATAACCTTTTTAATGTTACATTCGATGGCAGGTTCTGTTAGGGCTGCCATGCAAGCCATCTAAGAGCCTTGATTAGTTGCATGCTTTGATTATACCTCAGATCGGGAGCCACATATCATGATCTTAATTGTGGAGATTACAGGATTACATTACCACTGACAATAATCTATTTCATCTGCCTTCAATGTTTTCTCTTCAGAGCCATACAGCTGGAATACCATGTTAATAAACATATAGTTACGGACTGTTTTATAAGGTGAATTTCATAATTGCTTTTTTACAAAAAAAGCCAGCCATTTAGCAGTAAATCAATGCATGTAGACATCTAGACCGTCTTAGTCAGTAAAAAAACATGCTGCTGTCATTTTGCACATCTGATGTTGCTGCTATTTATCAATATATATCCATTACTGTAAAAATGTCCGCTTTTTATTGATTATTTACTTTCCGAATACAGAGCATTTAAATTGTAAAAACACTGTATAGTGCAGTACTTTTTCTCAAATCTGTCACGTATTCTGTTATTTGTATACACTTTCTAAGGTCCACATTGTGTGACCACTTCTGGTATAACCTTTTGGTGCTGTAACGCCACAATTTCCCCATTGGGATTTTCTATTCTATTCTATTCTATTCTATTCTATTCTATTCTATTCTATTCTATTCTATTCTATTCTATTCTACTTAGATGGTGAAGAGAACTTGCTGAATTGTATACTGGGCTTTTGAATGAGGAACAAAAAGGAGTTAAGTTAATTTGAAGAAGCAGTTGTCCAGAACCACCACCCTGCTGTAGGCTACCCAGTTTTTCACCAACACAAAATCATTTCTTATTTGTACAGAGAATGAAAGAAAAAACAGGATTTAAGGTAGATCAGTCATGGGTAATCTAGTTTGAAATGTATCAATAGGCAACAGCAACTCCTGGTTACAAACAAGTTTTACAGGATACCATCCCTGAACCTTGCTGCAGATATCCTTCAGCCAGGTTTAACAAACAGTAACAGATTGGTGTCTGTTCTGAGTATATATCAAGATGATATGGGTCAGAATTAAGTCTAAACAACATGGCAGACAGCATGGGTCCCTAATCCTGCCTTGCATCAGTAGTTCAGGATGGGGGGTGGTATTTAGCCATAATGGTGAGGGGATTACTTTTTTCTTTACTACTTCCAGATGGATAATGCTCAGCTTCAGAAACATCTCAAACAAATAATGCAACAAGAAACTTATTACAATGACCTCTAAAGTCTCTGTCCAGTAAAGTTTGATTCTAATTATCTGCACCATGGATGTACAGCAGTTTTATCTGCCAATAATGTTTTGAGGGTGAGGTTTGGGCTCCTAATAAAGAGGCCAGTGAGTCTTTGTGATAAATAAAATCAGTGGGAGCAAATTCAAACAGGAAGTAAAAAAATTCAATCTGTTTTTAATATTTGACTCCACGTATCAAACTCATGCTCTGCGCCTTCCCATGCAGGCTCTCTGTTATTTTGACGAGCGTCTGTTGAGAATTGGCGCATGCGCACTCTGGTAGAGTCCGGACAGAAATCCTTTTCCTCATGAAATACTTTGGATAGATCAGGAAAAAAAGGTAGAAAATCA